AACTTTTTTTGAAAACCTTCTGCCTTTGTCCCTATAAGAGACAAGGAAGCAGAGGCTGGGGCAAATTAGTAACCAACCACAGTCCTTGCTGTTGTCAGGCAGCGGGTGGAATACTTCCCTCACTTCTTTCTTTTGGATGCTTTCCATTTCTCCCCTTCCTGGAGGCCAGCCTTTCTCTTATTGCAGGTCCAAGGCCCCCAGCCCTGGGCTGGTGGCCCTACCCCATCTGCACAGGTGGCACTTTCTCCTGAAACCTGCATTTGCTGCCCCACTTACTTCCTGTTGTCTCCACAGCACGAGCTGTGAACTCACAACTACTACCTTCTGGAGGCTCTAACTCAGCCCCTGCCACAACAGATGCTGTTTGGAAAGAGTGGAAGCAACTGCTATAAATATTGGTGGGGAACTTGACTAACATCACTGGCGTAGCTCTGCAGACATAGCTGCTCAGGGAGGATTTCCCTGGGTGTGGGAGGGCTGACGGGAACAGGACTCTGCAAGCTGTTCCTTTGACTTTTCCCAAACACAGTTTCTGGCTTAACAGCCAACACCTGGCAAATTCTGGTCACCCCCAGCATCTCAAGCCTCTTGCCTTTATACAGCCTCACTCCGTCAGGCCCTGGCAAGCCTCACATTGCCAGGAGCATGCAAGGCTTTCCATACCACATTTCTGCTACTCACTTTGAAGTCTGAAGACATTCCAGGAAGCAAAGTATTACCCCTTTGCTTTATGGCCATCTGCAGTGCTCAGTAGAGGGGACTGTGATCAGGTGGTGTTAATATACTTCAGTTTAAAATCCTTGAAGAAGAAAACCAAGGAAACTCCAATTCAGAAATAGTCTGCACTGGTCATGGTGTTGGAGCGGGCGAGGTGCTCGCTCCATCAGCATTCCCTCATAAAGCTCACCCCAGCCAACTAGATTTGTCTGCTGACATCCTTTTGTCAGGATGACATTTTTGCACAATGCACAGAGGGCAGGCCAGAGCCAGGGTGAAGAGGAAAGGATGGAGTGGGTGGGCATTGTGTGGCCTGCAGAGACAACATGCTGGAGACGTGGCCAGGCAGCAGGAGGCTGCTGAGGCAGGCTGTTCACATGAGAAACGAGACCCATAATTATAGCAAGAAGGGCATCAAAACCAGGGGCAGGGGCACCTCCTGGCTCCTTCAATCCCAAGCATGGGAAATAGATTTTTGGAATAAATCCAAGTAAAAACAAACAAGCCCTAAGACACGAAAAGAGTCATGCCCTGGCCAAGCAAGCTGAGTTGGTTGGAGCGTTGTCCTGATACACCAGGGTTGCAGGTTTGATCCCCAGTCAGGGCACAAACAAGAATCAACCAGCGAATGCATAAATGAATGGAACAACAAACTGATGCTCTCTCTCTCTCTCTCTCTCTCTCTCTTCCCCCCACCTCTAAAAAAAATCAATAAAAAATATATTTAACAAAAAACAGTCATTCATTTAGTGTATTGGTCTCCTATTGCTGCTGTAACAAATTACCACAAATACGTTGGCTTTAAAAAAACACAGATTTATTCTCCTACAGTTCTGGAAGCGAGAAGTATAAAATCGGCTTCACTGTACTAAACACAGGACTGGTTCCTTCCAAAGGCTCTGAGGGAAAACTCTTTGCCTTGCCCTTTTCAGCTCCTGGTGGCCGCTGGCATTCCTTGACCTGCGGCACCTTCTTCTGTCTTCAAAGTTCACCGCTCCAACCGCACCCTTCCGTCATCGCACTCTCTCCCCTTCACCGTCTCCCCCTGCCTCCCCCTTACAAAGAATATTGCGAAGCGGGGCCCACCAGACAATCCAGGACAGTCTCCCCATCTCAAGCTCTCTAAGTTAATCACAGCTACAAAGTCCCTTCTGCCATATAAAGCAGCATGCACGGGTTTCAGGGATTAAGGTGTGGGTATGATTGGGCGGGGCCATTATACTACAATTTAGGCTTAACAGCCAACACCTGAGAGGCGGTTATGTGTTGAGAGGGTAAAATGGAAATAAATCATTTTCAAGGTTAAAAAGCTCATAAAAAGTCCACAACAGCCTGGAAATTGTCGAGAGAGCAAATGCTCTCTAAGCATCAACCTGGTCAGGCCCCCCAGGGGAGCCCCGGCCGTGAGGGAGGCTTGTACCGCACTGGGGACGCTGTCCTGCGGGGGCGGAGTCTCATAGGTGCTTGCACAGTGACACCAACGCGCACTCTTTCTTTCTTGCAGCGCACACTTGCTGAGGGCCCACTCTTCGTCAGGCCCTATTACCAAGCTGGGCATGAAGAGAGTGAGAGGTGCTCACGGTAAATTTCAGGGGATTAGTAGAAGATGAGCCCAAATCCAGGCAGCACACAATCATGTGACAAACACATCCACAGTGTGTAGGAGAGAGGGGGCTCCCCGCCCTCTCAAAATAACTGGGAGCCCCAGATAAATGTCTGCCTTTTATCCTGATCTAAGATTAATAAAGGAGGATGTGCCACCTGCCTCTCTGGTAACAGGGAGGGGCTGGGCAGGGAAAATGAGAACGGAGAATGGAGGGGAGAGGCAAACTACTAAGAAAGCCACAGGAAAGGGAGAAGGGACTTCGGATTCCAAATGCAAAACTAAAAACTTTTGACTGAATCAAAGAAAATGAAGTTCATCCATTCATGTAATAAATGTTTATTGGGCATCTACCAATTGCCAGGCACTCTTCTACCTGGGATACAGCAGGAGTTAAAACAGACAAAGCAAGTCCTGTCCTCATGGAGCTTACATTACAGTGGAGAGAGAGACAGTAAACAAGTAGATATGTATGCCATCTGGTGATACGTCTTACAGAGCCAAGTGAAGCAAGGGAGCAGCTTACAGCACTGATGGAAAGGCCTGTTCCTCTCTTTAGTATTTCCAGAGCTTCTGCCCCGTGCCGGGCAGTGAGCTACCTGCTGCAGGACCGAGGTGAAGGCAGTCACTCATGACAGTCACTGGGCTAAGCCCTGAGCAAACAAGGTTGCCCTTGTCCTGCCCCATCACAGAACGTCCAGACAAACGTGAGAATCAGCTCTTTAATGACTGAGTATTACAGGTGCTTAATTACAAACTAAAGTAAAAGCTATCATTAACATGTAATGTTTACATCTATTGAAATTGGGGGACCGGAGCAGGTGTCTCTGAGGAAGGGCTATTTGAGCTGAGAGCCAATGAATTCATAAGAGTGAAAGATATAAATACTTGATATAAATTATTCTAATTAAGAGGAGCATGGTATTGCAACAGGGGTTGAACAACGAGAGCAATATAAGAGAACAGAGAGGCCAGAACCAGATACGTGTATGAATGAAAACTGACATATGACAGGCATGACCATGAAGGTTAGTGGCCAGGTATGATAAATTCAATAAATGTTACCAAGACAACACATTATCCACATGGAAAAATTAAATTAGATCCCTGCTTCACACCAAACACAGAAATCAGTTTCAGGTGGTTGACAGATTTAACTGTGAAAGGAAAAACTTTAAATCTTGTCAGAGAAAATATAAAATCTCTTTATAATGGGTAGAAATAGGCAAGTCACAAGAAGCACTAACCATAAAAGCAAAAGACTGAACAGCGGCGTGGGGACTGCCTGAGGGAATGGGGGGCGCTGGGTGGAGGGGGACAAAGGGGAAAAAATTGGGCCAACTGTAATAGCATAATCAATGAAATATAATTAAAAAGATTTGACTGCATTGCAATTACAAACTTCCATTCATCAAAATATATCCAGTGAGAGAGAAGAGGGAAGAAAGACAAAAAAAGAAAAAAAGAAAGGTGAACTAAGTTGCAAACTGGGAGAAAACATTTTTAACTCATATAACTGGCAACGAAGTCATCTCTAAAACAATGTAAGACTCTTTAAAATCAGCAAGAAAATACAACTCAGTAGAAAAATGGGCAAAAGTCATGAGCAGACATAATTTTTTTTTTTTTCAGAAAAAGAAACTCCACGGGAAACAAGCATGTGAAAGACACTCAGCCTCCTTAGGCAATGAAATTAGGCTCACAGGCCATCACTTTACACTGATTATATTGCCAAAAATTAAGATATCTGACAATAATATCCTGGAGGCTGCAGGCGGGGTGTTTGGGGGATGGGGCTGGGTTAATGGGATGGGAATCTATTGCTTGGTTTCCGTCTCATTCACAGGCCCAAGAGGCAGGAATTTACCTTTGCCACTGGCAATGGGATTACTGACAGGGAGCAGGGTCAGCAAGATTCTCAAATATACTGTGAAGGACTCCCATAACCGCCATGCCTGCCATTCTGCCTCCCGTGGGTGTAGCGCTGGGTACCTGTCATCTCTCTCCGCCAACAATAAATGAATGAAAGGGCACTGAGTGAATGTCTTTTTTAACTAGATCACACCCCCACCCCATCCCTGCAAACACCTTGCTCTGGACCAGGCCCAGAGTAGGAGCTCGTTATGTGTGTTGAATGGATGGATGGACAGATGGATAGATAGACAGGGGCTTAGAATTGGCCTAAATTCCCATTTCCCTTACCAGCACCCTCTCCGACCAGCCTTGGCCACAATTTAAACCAGCTGAGAACTGGGGGGGGGGGGGGGGGGGGGGGTGGTCTCCATCAGGGCAGCTCAGCGTGTTCAGGGAGAGGACCCGGATGGAGAGGGGTTCACAGAACAAGGGGTGTTTTACCAGGAACGAGGGAGCCCCCAGCTCTGGGCGAGGCCGCCCCCAGCAATGGGAGCCCCTGGATTCTGCGCGGCCATGTGGCAGGGCAGGAGCAAGGTCACGCGAGAAAGAACGTTCCAACGCCGACCCCTCGGGATGGGGGTGGGAGGGTCACCGCAGAGGGGCCCCGCCGCGCGCCGCCGCCGGTCTGGGCGCGCGTTTTCCGGCCCAGCCCCGCTCTCCGGCGTCGGGCGCCTACCTGTCAGCGAGGCGCTGCCGTCGGTCCGGCGGAGCTGCGGGTCGGCAGCCCCGAGTCAGCGGGCCTGCGGGGGTTGAGAGCCGCGCCCCAGCCCTGCCGGCGGCCGCACGTCAACATGTTCGGCGCCTTATTCCGGGTGGGCTCCCAGGGCAGGGCCGTCCGGTGGGAAGAGGCCAGAGTCGCGGAGGCGGGCGGGAGCCGGAGAAAGTCCGACGGGACCCCCGGAGTCGCCTCGGGGGCCAGGAGGCGGCGCCAGGCGCGGGCGGGACTGCGCGGGTCCGAAGCGGCGGGGAAGGGGCGCGGGCAGAGCGGGGGCACGCCGCGCCGGACCCCGTGAGGAGCGGGCGGGGGCGTGGTGCGTGCCGGGCGGGGCACCCGGGCGCAGGGGGGAGGCGGACGGCAGGCGGACCCCGTCTGGAGTCCGGCCGGCTCGGCCAGGCGCGGGGCGGAGTTGGAGGCAGGCGCAGAGGCTGGCCCTGCCGCAGACAGGTGAGTGCTCGGGCCCCCGCTCCTACCTTGGAGGGCGTTGGTGTGTTCCCAGGCGCCAAGGTAATGCAGCACCCCCAGGTCAGAAGCACTCCCCCGACCCCAACGCCTAACCTAAGCTGTATGCTGGGAGTAGCGGCCCCTTCCCGGCCCAGCTCTCGGCCACAATCACCTCTGGAGGATGCTAAAACCGATCTCCCTCTCTAGGAACACTGGGCCTTCATTCCAAACTGTTAGTGTTAGAAGCAGTGCTAGCACTCATTTCACCTCAAGGAGGGGACTCCCAGGGTTGCACCCTTGGCTGTAGCTGTAATGGGGGCAGATGGGCAGGAAGGGCCTGGTGACATTAGCAGCCCCAGCCATCTGCTTGGCCGAGTTCAGGAAGCCTGAAATATCCCTCCTTGTCTGACCTGCAACTGGCCCATTCCCACTGGGTCCTCCATACTCTCAGCCTGCTTTCTCTTCTAGTACCTTTCCCTCTCCCAGTTTCTTTCAGGCACAGACCAGCTTTTGTGCCTTGGGCATGGAGAGGGTTCCTCTGCACCTGAGAGCTGTCCTGCCCCGTCCAGGCAGGACCAGAGGTGACCTGCTCACATTGTGTCTGGTAGGACCCATCCCTGCTCCTTACCATCTCCGTCATTGGGGTTACGGTACTTCTCTTGGCCCTGAAGAACATGAACTCAAAGAGGAGACATCCTATCACCTTACAGAACCCTGAAATCAAGTACTTGCTGCCCTTGATTGAGAAAGAGGTAATGAGTCCGCTGACTGTCAGCAGGTAAAAGAGAGGAGGCCAAGAGTGGTGGGGAAGGTGCTGGCTGGGAAGGCAGGGCGGTGGGGCGGGCACTCACAGCCTCCAGTTTTGCTCGCCACTGCCTTTGTGCGTATGTGCACACTGCGAAATCACCAAATGGAGCTCCTTTCCGCAGCATCTGAGCTGCCCAGCAAGGCCTCTAGAAAGCTGACAGAGCCTGCCTTGTTTTCTGTTTTATCAGCAAATCAACCACAACACCCGGAGGTTCCGCTTTGGACTGCCCTCACCAGACCACGTTTTAGGGCTTCCTGTAGGTGAGTGGCATTTGATTTCATTACCAGGACTGGGTGATGAAACTCAGAAATTCAGCCGGGGTGGAGAAGTGGCCCTGCTATGTTGCCTGAGACGCATGAGCTCAGAGTGGTTGGGAGATGGGCTTGGGGACAGCCCATTCCCTTTCTCACTGTTAGATTTGGGCTGTCACAGAAGTGATCTTGCAATGAGCATTGAAAAGGAGTGAGTCTAGAGTCAAAAGCTCTAAGATCTTATTGCAGGCGCCTTGCTGGGCAAACTTAGGCAAGTCGCTCAACCCCTGTGAGCCTTCAACTACGAAATGGGATTTCCCAGGCCTGCCTGCCTCTTGGTGTGTTGTAAGGACAAAGTAATCGATGGATGTCAAAATTCAGAAACTGCAAAGTGCTGTCTGTGCTCATGGGAAGGATGAAAGACACTGATGTTGCCCTGCAGTCAGGAGAGAGAATCCCAGGATGTGCGGAGAGGCAGGAGGGAGTCACCGCCCCCGCACATGGATTCTCAGCAGGGGCCTCAGACCCTTACAAGGAGGCACCCATTGTAAATACCAGCTCTAGCAATCCTAGAGTTCTGAGTTACCCTGATTTTAGCCTGTGCCACCACCAGATGGCTGAGTCAGTCTTAGTGAGGCGGGAAACCTCTGCCAGGCCCACAGCCTAGGAATCCAAAACTGTACACACTGCTAGTGCCTGGGGGAGATCCTCATTCATGGCCTGTGTGCATGGGACAAAACCTTGACCTCACCTGCAGCATTAAAGTGTTAACATTGTTCGTTAGGCAGCCAGCCTGGCTCCTCAGCCTCCTTGCTGCTTCCTGTCTCTGCCTTCATCCATGACAGCTCAGTGTCGGCCTGCCTTCTAGCCCTCTACCTGGCCTGTTGGCAAGAGGGCTAAAAGAATAAAAAACTTTGAGAAACAGCCTATGTTAGAATCTGCCATGGCTCACTCTCTGCTCATCCCCGGTGTCGGCAGTGCAAAATTAGTGGGACAAAGTGATTTAGAGGCTTCTCGGAGAGCCTGCTATGGGCACTCAGAGACTGCTGGGGCTTCCCCGCTCAGCTGAAATGAAACTGGTCAGAGATGGGGCCTGCGGGATCAGCCTGGGCAGCCCCATTTTCTCTGGGGCTGCTGCCGGACCAGGCCCAGGTCGGCTGCAGCTGAAAGAGCCTTTTGAAGGTTTCCAGTTTCAGAGTAGTTCTCAGAAGGAAGCAGCCTCTGGCTTTTATTCCTGGGTATCCCTGGTTCCCAGCCAGGTCCTAGTCAGAGCCTTTGAGTCTGTCCTTTCTTAACCCAAGCGTTTGTGCCTCAGGCCTCCTCAAAGACTTTGGTCCAAGTTCCTGAAGCTACTGGAAGGACTGGACCTTCCAGTGTTCCTTCTCTCCTCCTCCCCCTCATCTATTTCTCTCCAGGTCTCCACTTCTGTCTCCTATGTATGCAGTCTTTACTCCCTCAGATACTCTGGCACGGAGCTCCCTCTTGCCTCTGCCTCTCCGCATCTCTTTACTGCAGCTTCTGCCCTCACCACTAATTGCTTTAGTTGCTGAAGTCTCCCATGGCAGACCCAACAAAGCTCTGAGCAGCCCAGCCCGTCACGTGGCACTGGGATGTACTTATGATCCATAGGTCTCTGGCCACAGCTGGTCCAGTCATTTCTCCCCTGAAGGGTCAGAATTATATTGTTCAAAACTTCATTGCTGCTTGTCAGCAGAGTCATGGCACAGGAAGACTCAATACTCTTTCTCCAACTCCTGGTTTGTGGGTATCCAAATCCTGGGGACCTACATACCTGTGAACTCTGGTGTTCTCTGTGCCAGGCAACACATTACAGATGAGGGGGCTGTGACTCACCCCCTGACTCCAATGCATTCAGTTTAGGAAGAAATGACTTTGTGAAGGCAACATATTTTGCTTGGAAAGGGAAACAAACTCCCCTTTCTGTCATTTTTAATACTCAGCCTCCAAATGAGCTCTCCCTGCTCCGCGAAGTACTTTGAGACAGTAAGCCCGCACTAACAGCAGGTTTCCTGTATGTGAGGCTCACGGCTACACTGTGATGGAGGCAGGGCAGGAGCATCACCCCCATTCACCCAGAGAGGTGAGGTGACTTGCCCAGGGTCACACACAGGGACAAGGACAGGCCTAAGATCCGACATCGGAATTAGGGCTCCTTCTCTGCGTGGCCTCCGCCCATGCACTCTGCCACACTATGCGTCCCCCACCCCCCCGAAGCTCAGTTCTTTAGGGGAGTCCTGAGTCCTGCTTAGGCTGGCCGTGCTGACTCGACGTTTGATGCCTTCCCCGTAGGCAACTATGTCCATCTCTTGGCCAACATTGATGATGTTCTGGTGATCAGGGCATACACACCGGTGTCCAGTGATGATGATCAAGGCTTTGTGGACTTAATTATAAAGGTAAACGATGCCCTCCCTTGTCCAGCTGTCTCACCCTCACAGGCCTGTTAAAGGTGGTGGGGTGGAGAAGGTGCACTTGCCCTGGACAGGTCATTTGGCAGTGAAGCTGTTGACTTGGTGAAATCTTCAGGGGTAGCTTAGAGCAACTGTACGTGCCGAGGATTTTCTCCACATGGTTTCCAATTGTAAATGCATTCCTGAGTTGTGTGCAGTTGTGGCCTCGGGTCTGAGGCTGTGAAAGCCATGCTGCCTTATTTTTCAGATCTACTTCAAAAATGCACACTCTAATTATCCAGGCGGAGGGAAGATGACCCAGTACTTGGAGAACATGAAAATTGGGGACACCATTCTTTTTCGAGGGCCAGTTGGGCGCCTGTTCTATCATGGGCCAGGTACTGGGGGTTCACACTGGGCCTCCCACGGGGAGGAAGAAGATTCCTATAGCAGTTCCTTGTTCTAAAAACCTCAGATTTGAGGCACATGGACTTGTTCTTAAAGCTGTCATACATTCATTCACATCCTCCTTTCATGAGATTGTTAGCACCATTAAGGTAGGGGAGTGATTTGGTGTTTTCTTATCACCTGATACATAAACTGCAACTAGTAATGCCGAAAAATAGATGAATGGAGTCCACATTCTATCATTTACTCACGCATTCATCATTTGCTCAGCCACTGCTGTGCGTGGGAGTGTTCTGTGAGGCTCCCTGGCAACTTCAGCATAACCTCCCTCATTCCTCAGAAGAACAGATCCAGTGATTCCCCACAGACACCCAGGCTCTATTCCCACTTTGTGCACCGCTGCAGCAGGGCTGGCCAAGGAGGTCAACCTCGCTCGCTCCTCTGGCTTGTAGGGGTGCAGCCTCATCCTTAGGCGGACTTCCCCCCCCCGGGACGCCCCAAGAAAAGTCAGCAACCTTTTACAGGCTCTCGGGCAAGAACCCCAGAAGTCAGAAGTATCCACTGTGTTTTTAGGGAAGTTTTCGATCAAAGCACACAACACAAGCAAGCCTGAAGACAAACTGGCCAGTCACCTGGGAATGATTGCTGGGGGCACAGGTAAGAGGCTTCTGGGGGCTTCCTCCACAGGGGAGCCCTGAGACCTTTCTGACTTTGGAGTCACTTGATCCTAGAAGGTGTGATGTTTGAGAGGGTCACTAGCCTGGCTCTTTTAGATGGGAATGCAGGGTCAGTGGCAGGCCTTGAAACTGACCCTGTGTGCCCTGCTCCCCTCCCCCACACGGTGGCTGCCCAGGAGCCCCGGGGAGCCTCTGAAGTCAGGCTGGGAACATGGAAGCGGCAGGGGGCCAAGCTGGGCAGGCCCACCCGTGGTCCCCCAAGGACTCCTGGGTCCCGCTGAAGCCTGACTCCCCATTTTTGAAAATGAATGCCTGGAAAAACAAAACAAACATGTAAGGAGACCTACAACTTGCCAGGCACCATAATATGCACTTTTAAAGCTATCACATTTACTCTTCTTTAATTCTGACTTACAAGTGAGGGCCCTGAAAGAGCTCAGGTGGGTGCTTGAATCACCCCCACCAGGTAGGTAGTGAGGGGCTGGGCGGGAAACCCAGTTCCGAAACCAAAGTCAGTGCTCCTTCCATCTTGCCATCTGGAAAGGAGAAAGGGCTTTTCATTTATTGTCACATTAGAAGGGAAAACCAAAATGAAGGGCGGTTCCCCGCTTTGGGTTTTGGGGACAGAAGTGAGAAGAGTAGAACCAGGGTCAAGCGGCTGCAGACCAGGGGCGGTGGGCGTCGGAGAGGGAAAGCTGGCCTGCCGCACACCCTGTTCCAGGGGTCACGCCCATGCTGCAGCTCATTCGCCACATCACCAAGAACCCCAGGGACAGGACCCGGATATCCCTCCTCTTTGCCAACCAGGTCAGTTCTGCTGAGTCAGCCCCGGGCTTGCAGGGGTGGGACGGATGGAATGTCTTCGGAGCAGGGCTCTGCGTTCACTCCTCCCTGGACGGGCTCGGAGCTCAGGCTGCGGGAGTGCCTGTGGCTCCGGGAGGGCTAGTGAGAAGCTGAGCACAGGCCTGTGCTTCTGTTTTTTTTAAACTCCTGTCTCCCCAATCCACACGAAGCATTATGCTTTCCTTCCTTCCTTAATACATAGTCCTGTCCGTTCGAGTATACAATCATAGCAGCCCTCAAAGCAAATTCTAGAAAATACAGCAGCATATAAATATCTTCCTTATTTTTGTCTTTTTTTTCCTCTACATGCTATATACTTACAATTATATACATATAGATTTTGTTGGTTTTTTTTAGCCAACATTACCATACAGATATTTTCTTCTCATTAAAACTCTTTATAAATATTTTTTATCAGAGTCTATATCAAGTTGCACCATAATTTACTAAATCTACATTCAGGTTTTTAGTTATAAATGATAGTGGTGAATAATTGTGCCTCGACTTGATCACTTACAGATTATTTTCTTAAACAGAATCCCAGATGTGGAATTATTAGGACAAGGATTATAAAGAGTTTTAAGACCCAGGTGTTCTGTGCAGCATCACTGAGCCTGTGACAGATTTCTTTTGGCTTTGGCTCCCTTTTCCCCAAATGAGGCTCCAGCCTCAGTTTTTCTCTCCTTTAGCTCTGCAGTGCTGCCATATACATGTATGTATAAGTAGACACACACACACACACACACACACACACACACACACACACACACACACATATTACTGCCTTAGCCCCTTACACTCCCTGCAGAAGACCCTGGGCACACACTAAGCTTGCCTCAGTTGGGTTTGCTGTGCCCGGTGTCAGGGTGGATGTTGGAGGTGGGGCTGGAACCTCCGAGTGAAGCCACCTCACTCTTGGGGAGCCATGGCCTTCCGGCTGGAGGGCAGTCACCCAGCTCCTCCGCTCACGTGGGAGGGCTCATTGTGCAGGAGCGGAAGCAGAACTCCCACTTGCCCCGGGAGTCTGTGGGGAGCACTCACACTGGAGTAGAGGCAGCTTGGCCAGGAATGCGCTCACCCACGAGCTCAGCCTAGGGAATAAGCAGCAAGTCCCTGGAGTGGCTTTGCTCGTGCTGTTTCTTTTCTAGACGGAGGAGGACATCCTGATGAGAAAGGAGCTTGAAGAAGTTGCCAGAACTCACCCAGATCGGTTCAACCTGTGGTACACCCTGGACAGGCCTCCTGTTGGTAGGAACCCCATTGTCCCCACCATGGGTCAACTCCAACCCTTGACCCACCTCAGGGACTAGTCCTTGGGTTGGTTTGTTAGGACTGGGCTCTGTCTCCCTGTGGGGAAGATAGGAATTTGAAGGAGAGAGGATTTGGGATGACCTGCTTCTAAAGGCCGTCAATGGCAGGTGTCTGGTATCTCAGCTGCACTCCACACTGCACTGAATATCAGGAGGGACACAGAGGCACTGGGCCCCGCTGAACACCCACCCCCACACCGCACCCCACACAGCATCCCGCAGAGGCATTGCATACACTGCATCTAACACGGCCATTGACCCCTCGCCACTCACCTGGCCTGAAGAGCAGTCCTCACATGCTGATCCCCAGACGGCACCCAGCCACCCCTGTGCACACTGCAGCTGACAAGGCCACCACTCCCCTCAGGCTGCCTCTCCCACACGGCACGGAGCTGTGTCCGCCTTGCCATACAGCTCACTGCCCAGCAGAGGGAGCCACACAACGGAGCCCATCCACAAACTCCACAACACGCTGGGCGCTGGCTGGCTGCTGTGATTCACACCACACCTGGCACAGGGCACCTCACTGTCCTGACAGTTCCACGTCCTCACCAGTGCTTGCAGCAGGCACACTCCAGCCAGGGGTCTCAGACCCTGGAATCTGGGGTAAATACCGAAGAGGACTGCCTGGGTGCGCCCGGGCCTCTACTTTTCAGCTTTCTGCAGAGAATAGCAGTACAGACTTCTGAGTCTTGGAGGGCAGCCTCGCCTCTCTCTCCCTGGCTTTAGGGAGGGACAGCAAGAGGCCTGGGGTCGGGGACTCGACGTGGCACCTCCACAGCTCTTTTTCTGCTTAATCTCAGGCTGGAAGTACAGCTCTGGCTTCATTACTGCCGACATGATCAAGGAGCACCTCCCTGCGCCGGGGACGTCCACGTTCATCCTGGTGTGTGGCCCACCCGCCCTGATCCAGACAGCCGCTCACCCCCACCTGGAGAAACTGGGTTATACCAACGACATGATTTTCACCTTCTAACACCTTCTTTGCTCTTGGCAAACTTCCCTAGTCCTTTACATCTGTTTCAAAGGGAGCCGGGCGTCACCTGGTTCAAAAGTGCCTCCTAACGCGCCCTTGGGCATGCTGGTGCTCCTCTCTGTTGGTCTGAGGAGGGTTTCGGGGGCTGGGGGACAAAGTGGCTTCTGGAGTCTCCTTGCTTGGGGAGGCCTGAAGGAACTCCATTTGAGTATCTTTCCCCTTGGTTTGGTGAAATAAACCTCAGTACAAAGCGGATAGCCCCCGAGGTGTGGCTCTGCGGGGGCCCCCCAGGCACGTGGCCTTGGCCTGCCCTCCATAGGAATGGGCTTGTGTCCCTGGGAGGCCAGAACTGGCAACAGTGCCAGGGCGGAATTTCAGAAGAGTCCAAATGGGGTCATGCCAACTTCCAATAATCTCCCTTGGCCTCACCCCCTCACCCTACCCCCCGGTGTTTTAAGATCAGCTCTACTAGAGGGCTCAGGCGCCCTCCGTGAGCACCCTTCCTTCTCTCGTGGGAGACCCTTGAAACTGGAATGGTGTTCAAAACACACGTCAGGGCAGCAGGTGAGTCCACAAGGTTGGTGGGCTCTAGGAACCCTAGGCTCCCTGCACTTTGCACAACACATGGAGGTAAGAGGTGCCTTTTTGTTAGCATCCTCTAAACACCAGGCCCTGTTATGGTGTGGTGGGGTAGGGGTCGGTACAGACAGAAGCTTCTGAACTGGCAAACAAAATTAGGTTCCAGAAGCTGTTCCTTAAATCCTTTATATCACAAGTGACCACTCTTGCCACCTGCTGCTCCTGGCCAGGACGATGTGCTCCTGCTCTCTGCCACCTGTGAGGGTGTAGAACCCCTTCTGCACTTGATTATGTATAATTCTCATAACAAGCCATGCATTTTGTGGGGATTTTGCTCTTCAAGTTATAGATGAGGAGGAAACTGAGCCTCAGAGTTGAAGTTATTGTCCCCAGGTCATTCAACCAGTAGATGGCAGAGCTGGGCTTCCAACCTGGGTCCTGTTTAATTCCAAGTCACTCCTTCCCTTTTCACAAAAATTAGCATAGCAGCAGCATTGCTAAACCTTGGTGTCACTGGATTTCTTATTCAACACATGGGGGTGGGTAAGGGAGAGGGAGGAACACAGCTCTAGAGAACGGGGTGGCCTCACCGAGGGCCGGTGGGAGTGGGGTGCTGCTGGGAGGCAGCCCCCTCCACCCTTGCGTGTGTTCGGCGCAGTCTCAGTGAGTCCCCCGCCCAGAGAAGGGGACTCTGCTGGGCCCTGCACGACAAGTGAGATCCTCCCCTCGGGTATTTTTCTTAAGCACAAATATCACCGAGCTTGTTCCCTGCTTCAAACCTCTTACTGCTTTCACTGGTCCCCACCTGGCCACCCTGGGTCTCCAGGGTAAATTCTGGGGCCTGGTCTATGAGGCCTTTCTCTATCTGGCTCCAGGTGACCACACCAGATTTTTCTTTCCCCGGGCCTCCCACACTGACCCCGTTCTCTGGCTCAGCAGTTCTCAACTAGAGGGGATCTTGCCCCCCCCAGGGAGTATTTGGCCAAGTCTGGAGACATCTGGGGCTGTCACAACTAGAGAAGAAGAGCTTTTGACAGCTGGAGGGAGAGGCCTAGGGTGCTGCTCAATGTCCTACCGCACGCGGGACAGCCCCTAACAACGGGGCGAAGGTTGAGAAACCGCTCTCGTCAGACCAGCTTCCTAGGACATGTCGAGATGTTTCAAGTCCGTCTGGCAGGCATGCTTTTCCCCTCCGGCATGGTTGGGGAACCTGCTTCATCTTTCAAAACTCAAATGTCACCTCTACCTCGGAGCCTTTTTGGTCCCACCCCAAGTCCGGGTCTCCACGAAAAATGACAATGTGCTGTTTGAGGCTGTGGAGACTTCTATTGGAGCGTCTGTAATGTTCAGAACACTGTTAACCTGAAACAGAGCTGTAGCCCCTCACTAGGCCATCGGTGCCCGAAGGCAAGCACTTAAGCAAGCACCTCGGCAGTCATGCCTTACCCCTAGCCCTCCGTAGTCCAGCACAGAAGGTACTTAACCTGAAATATGAAGGAGTGGAAGGGGAAGCCAGCGGCAGGGATCCCCTGAGCCAGGTGAGAACCAGGAGCCCATCCGCAGCAAGTGCTAGGTGAGTTGTGTTGAGAGTGGGGATGGTAAGGGAGAAAGACAACACATTACTTCAAGGTGAGCTAATAAGTGCTTGGGCTCAAAGGGCACAGGGACCACCAACTGAAACACCAACGCAGGCTTCCTGAAAAGAGGCTGTGTCCTTTGGGTCTCCATAGGCAGCATTTTGGCCTTGTGACCAGGACTAAGAGAAAAACACATCCCACCATGCGGGAAAGACTGGAGCGCAGGCTCAAGTGTGGGTTCATAAAGGCTGAAGAGTCAAAAGGGCCTTGGGTGCTGACGAAGGCTTTGAACTCTCATCTGTGGTAAATTCTGGAACCAAGGACTTCCTAGCCAGAAACGTAATGGGAGTAAAACAGTGCTTTGGGAAGGTCACTTTGGGGACGGGGTGGAGAAAGGCTGGAAGGGACCAATGGGAAACGTAAGGGGCCACGTAGGAGACCACCTGTGAAAATTGGACGAGCTGGGGCCTGAACTAGAGCCATCACAGGGGGCAAGAAGGAGGCGGGCCAGTCACTCAGGAGCAAGGCCAGCTGGGAGGCCCCTGTGCAGCAGGGGCACGGGCATGTCTCCTCAGGCAGGAGACACCTGAGGTTTATAGGCTTCTCTGGAAGACGGTGAGTTGCTGTGGAAACGCTGATTCGAGATTCCCAAGGGCCTTCCACTGTGGGGAGCTGTTTGATCAGAGGATTGCGCCTGAGGCTGGTGAGGGAGGCTGTGCCGTGTCAGCTGGGGCAAGCGTGAGGGCCCGTGACTGTGTGTGTATGTTGGAGACGTCTCTGCTTAAGGCTGGGAGGCCCGGCGGCACGGAGAACCTGAGACATGCATGCTTTGCAGACGAGGGTAGACTGAGGGCAGCCAGGGCCGGGGAGGGAGTCTCATTGCTCCTTTCCTGTTCTCACCCCAAATACCCTCATCCGGACCAGATTCCTGTGAGCAGGAACACATGCTTCTGTCTGGAAGCAGCCCAGGGAGGGGGCTCCTATTATCATTTCACCCAGCTCAGTCTCTACAGAATATTCAGAACATTTTCAGAACTTTTTTTTCCAGCAGAGCTTTTATGAACTCACAGACCTTCCCCTTTGGTGTAAGAACCTCCCAGCTGTCACCAGGAACAGCGTGAGCCATTGAGTCTGAGCTGACATCTCATTGCCCACCACACGAAAGTGGTCTGCAGTCATGTATAAAAGTACAAAAGGTATAAAAGCTGTGGTGAAGAGCACAGCACGGCTGAAAACATAGGGACGCCGGGGCCAACTCCTGGACATCTGTCCCCAGCCCCGCTTCCCCGCTGTCAGCACCCACGTCCGAGATGCCCCGCCCGCCTCAGTCAGGGCTGTGCGGTGGCCGTGTGCCAGCTCCCCATTGAAGCAAAGCCTCAGGGCCCCCACACGTGCCTCTCCGGGCTCTCAGCCATGAAGAAGTCATCTCCAGTCCTCAGTGTTGGGAGCAGCCAGGCGAGAGTCGTTCAGCATCTGGTCCTGGCTCAGCATGGTCTGGAAGGACACAGCCGAAGGCGCAGTTGAACAGGGTTTGGGTTAAGGTCACCCTGCAGCAGGTACAGGGGAAGCAGCGGGCACTGGGTGTGGTCCCACCGGATGCTAACACCCTGTAAGTTCATGGTGTCCCAGGGACTCCACATATTGGGTCAGAACAGACAGCACTCTTGAGATAATAAATTGCTTATACTTTAGAGGTAAAGTTGCTATTTCAAAGCCACCAGAAATCTATTACAGGCAATACGGCAGAGTTGGGTTCATTTAAGTGAATGAGCCAAGGAAAAAAATTAAAAACGACCCTACTTGGGTTCAGGGAGACACCCTCCTCCCGTTATGCCCTTAGATACAGCCTTCTTAACGTGTCTTGCTAGCTAGGCAGAGGAGTGACAGTCACAGCGGCCTCAGCAGGGCAGATGCTACAGCCCGTGGGCTCAGTGATGTGGTGCATCGGGAACTAATGGGCTCCGGAATGAGTGGGGCCTCAAAAGTGTGAACCTTCCCTGTGGCTGGCCTTTTCCTAACGAGGGTGTCTTTAACGAGGGTCTGCTTTACAGACCACTAAGCCAGGGCTCAGAGGGAGAATGGCTTGCCCAAGCTCCCCAAGCAGGGGCTTGAAGCAGGTTGGCCTCACTCCAGGGCTGCTCCTCTCCCCGAGACCACGCTGCCCGCAATGCCCCTGCCCCGCCCCCATGGTAGTTTGCCCTCATCGGGCACATCAGGATGTGCTCATGTGACTTGATATCTATGATGTCAGAGGCATGATAGGAAACGTGTGTATCTCATGGGCAAAGAGAGTAGAATTGTGTCCACCAGACCAGAGGTAAGGCCTGGGCACTGGGCTGAGTAGGCAGGGGACCCGGAGCTGCTGTGCATCTCGGTTTGCTTGCCAGCTCTGAAGCTGGGAAGAGGACCTGAGGACCAGCACACGTTAGCTGTCTTTGCTCGAGATCCATAATCCTTGCCAATGCCCTGAACAGCCCAAGGCCCCACAGGAGGTCCGTGGAGAAGGCCTCTGCTCCGCTTGCCACCTCAGTGCTGGCTCAGGCCCCAGCACCCAGCGCCATCCTTTGTTCTCTCCCAGCAGAGGTGCTGATGACACAGGCTCTGGAGCAGGGACAGGGCTGTCCCCGGCCTTGCACACCACCTCACCAAACTCATGGTGCCTCCCGGCACCTGCTGTGGAGAGAGGGTCAGGGTCCTACCGTGAGGCGGTGAATGTCTTGGGAGAGGAGCCCTATCTGCGTCACAGTGCCTTCCGAAGGTGCCATCTGTAAAATGGGCAGCAGCCTGGTCAGCGCGCTGGGCTCCACTCACGATTCACAGAGACGGCATGCGAGTCCCGCCTGCTCAGGCATGCTCCCCTAGGGGCGCAGGGCCTGAGAGTGACAGGTGGGCTGAGCACGTGCTGCCTGTCACTGGGAAGAAGCAGAGCCTCCAGTATCCCACACTGCCATGCACATGCTCCCCTGGGTCCCCAGCCGGGCACCAGCTCTAGAGGTACACCAGAGCAGGGCGCAGACAGGGTCTGCTAGAAACGGCCCTTTAGTACATGTTCAAAGCTCTCTTTCCAAAAGCCAAGACGAAGGACTTCAGGATGCTGGATACAATGACGACTTCTGGTGCCAACAGGACCCCAGACACTGCTGACCGGTCCAGGCCCAGGGGCACATCCTCAGGGAACTGCCGCTAGAGCTGGCTCACTGCCAGGATAGCCCCTCCCCCGCTGCCCCTCAGGTTATTCTGGCCCGCTCCTTCCCCGAAACTATTTGGGCACTATAAATTTGGAAGCCTCCTCTGTGGGCCTCACATATGACCAACCCCTCATTTTATAGGTGGGAAAGTGGGGGCCCACCAAGGGATAAAGGCCTTGCTTGAGGCTGTGCAGGGAATTAGTGACATAAGTCCATGCAGAGTTTGTAAACAGGCACATGCAGAGATACCCTCACCAGGATAGGATAGGACATAAGGGACAGAAGCTGCGTTATATGGGTCCCCAACGGCAGTGCCTGGTACCAGCCGTGAGGAGCACCTGTCTTACAGTGGTCCCAGGCACCGGTGTCAAACACTAGTCGTGCCAGCTGGTGAGCTTGTCCGTTTCTCACTGGCCAGACTTCAGGGGAGACTAGAGTCCGTGGCCGGAGGTTACAAGTGCTTTAAGTAGCACATCCGAGCATCGGCTCCATCTGGGATGGAATCAGAGTGCCCTCAGCGGGGTCAGGAGGCCCCAGGCTTCCAGACAGTCATGATTAAGCTGTTACGCTTCTGCAGATGAGGCCCTGGGGGACCAAGTGGAGCCAAAAGCTGCCCCGGACAAACTGGAATCTCCCGAGCAGGGGCCCAGACTAGCAAGGCGTGTCTCTCACGCAGTCCTTGGCCAGACGAACCCCGTCTGGAAGATGCATTATCAGTTAGTCAGCCCCTAAATCAGGAGGCTACGTCTGCTGCTGCTGCACTGCCAACGCAGACAGACCAACCTCCACAATGGTTACGGGCTCAGCTAGGTCCGTAACAGAAGCTGGCAAAACACATAAAAGCAAAGAAAGTCCTTCCAGCAAGGCTGCCTTCATGTCTCCCCACCACCCCCTTCACTGGGGGGCTCATGCCTCTGAAATGGAAACCAAATTTGGGGTCCACATGACAGATGTGACCGACAGTCAGGATGTGCGTGAGACATGAGGGACGTGGAGCCTGAAGCCACAGGACCTCCTCTGAAAGATATGGTCGGGTGGGGGGGTTCCTCACCCCATCCCCACGTCCATGACACTTGGCAGATGTGAGTGTGCACCTGGCTGAGGACCCAGTCCAGGCTGTGCAGGGAGCAGGACGCCATCTGCAGATGTGCTCGGCTCTCTTCCCCAGACAAAATTAAAGCTATGTTGTGCTGTTTGCTTTCTACATAAATATTGTTTTTATTACTAGAAGGAAGCGACCACCTCGTAGGAAGGCACAACACAGTTACATAGTCACTGCGGCAGAAAACCCTGCTGCTGTCCCTTTGATCTCAGCCAAGACTCTGTGGCCAGAGGCCTAAGGCACTTGAGACTGGCCCCCAGCTGGAGCACAGTGTGGGGGGCCCCCGAGAACTGAGCCTCTGGGGATTGTCCATGGTCTCTGGACCTGTGTCCAAACTTGTATGTTTCCACTGGTGCTGAAGGTGGACATTAAGAATTTCTAAAAATGTACAAGTGTCTTTAAGGGTCTTTCCTCCCGAGTCCACCTTTGGCAGCAGTTCCCACAGTCTGGCCCCTTGGCAAAGGCTCAACTCCCTACCCTGGCCACCCTCAGGGTCCAGAGAGAGACTGGCCCAGGGGTACGCAGCTGCTGGATTGTCCTCTCAGAGTCATGCACTTGTGCAGGGGATGAGATGCAGTTATATGGTGACACACGGTGTTACTGTGAGTTCTCAGGGTGCACAGAGAGCACAGGTGACAGGGGCATCAGCTAATCTGTCCCACCTGGTCCAGCCCATCCACTTCAGGGACATCGAGTGGGCTGAGGCCCCGGTAGCCACTGTAGACCCTGTCACTGACACTGTCGCTGGACTCCATCGGGCAAATGTAGTCCGTCGATTCATCGAACTTCTTTTTTCTTATGTTTCCGAAATGTGAAAATCCCAGTTTCCTTGGCTGAAACACAGCAAATGCAAGATTATGAGAAGATTATCAACCTGGTGTGCAGGTATGACCGACAACACCATGCACAGCAGGCCTGAGGCCAACTGCTTCTAGAAAAACTCCCAACAACACAGAGCTCCTGTAAGCCATTTCCGCGCTGGGGAAAGACCAACAGATACATAATCTTGAACATGGAAAGTTGTCAAGACTCTGTTCCTGAAACTCATGCCGTGCTGTCCCGGTAGTGATGTTGGTACTTCCCAGAGGGGTGAGGTGCGGGGACTGGGATGCCTAGAGGACCCGCCTCACCACAGCTGCTGGTGCCACACGGGGGAGCTCTCCCTTCCTTCCTCTTGCCCTCGTGAAGCCACATGGGCCAGGCCGGGGTGGCCCTCCCCGTTCCCCAGCCCCGCCCAGCGGTGTTTCCGCTTGCCTCCCCCAGACACATTTCCCGTCCTGCTCCCTCGGTGAAGGAGGTCTGGCAAGGACGAGGTCTGAGGACGATGTGGCTCAGGCAGGTCAACTGGGCTTTGTGGCTTTCAGAGAGCACCAGAGAGCAGTGCTGGTGCTTGGACAACCTCTGGATAGCTATGTGCCAGCCACTCCAAGGGCAACCAGGGCTAGATGTCAAGAGGAACAAACCCTGTGTTGGCAGGACAGCTTTGACCAAGACCCCGCCTAGCAGTGGCATGAAACTGGCCTTGACTGCAGGGAGCCCAGACTCGGGAAAATTCATCAGGGCAGCCTTGGGGGAGACAAACTCCGAGCCTCCTGAGAATAAATGCTTCCTGCACATGGTGTCTGGGTAAATAAACCTGCACTTTGTTTTTTGGATTCAAAAGCAGGAGGGAACTGGCCTAATAGAGACTAACAGACAGTGAGACTAGAACAGAAGCTGAGACAGTCCCCTCGTCTGGGTGGCGCACACTGGTTTGGCTCTGGGGTTGGGTCAGCTGCTATACCACGTGAGGCCCAGAAGGGAGGCCTCCGTGACCACTGCCGAGAGGGTCTAGCCACTCACCCGGACTTTGGCTGTGGTGGTCAGTGGTGTGTAAGCTGGTGAGGTCATTTTCTCTCGTTTCTCCTGTTCAGCCTCAGGACCAATCAGAGCATTGAATTTGGTAGTTAGGTGGCGTCTGAGGAGTGTCTTTTGTGGTGGGATATTGAGAAGCATAGCCAGGGTGTCTCCAGTGAAGCGTGGCTCCAGGATCTAAGAAGAAACCAGACAAACCACCCAGCGGTAACATTGGTGGCCCCGGCTGATGACACTAAGAAATGGGCCTGGGAGTGACTCCAGGGCAAGGGCTGAAGCTCACCCACTTGACCTGTTCCCTGCTCCCCTTTCTACCTGGCACAGGGCCTGGCTTTGAGCAAATTGACCATCTCATTTTCACAGACCAGCAAAGAACTGTGACCTCTTAGATAAGGCTGTCTCCCAGGGTCCACTCTGGATGACATCCAAGCCACCCCTTCCGCATTTCCTGGCTGGCTTTGCCACTTGACAGATCTGAGTGATGATAAGGACTACATCACGGCAAGAGGAAGTTACAGTTTGGTGGCCTCTCACTCACTTCTCCAGCCCCTCGGTTCCTTTAGGAGGAGGCAGGGCTGACGGCTGATTCTCATGCAACCCCTTTGCCCTGGAATCTTCTGGGTCTGTGGCTAGAAGTCCTTCCAGAAGCTGTTTTGTTTCTATGAAGTATATTAATTCTCAACCACAAATTATCAAAAACACTTTGAGATTTCATTGTATACAAGGATGAGACTTCAACTTATATTTCAGATGAATCATCAATTATTTTTACTAGGACTTATGTCTAGCCCTTAAGAAAGGAGTTTCTGAACAGCCTGGTTTTCACCAGGGCAGGGGGCCAGTCCAGAAAGCCACTCACAATGAGCCCTCCATGGACGCCACTCCCACGGAGGTTGGGCGCATACTCTGCCAGGTCCACAGATCGCAACCACTCCATCACCCTGTGGTTGGACCACTGCACAACTTCTGAAGGAGAAAGGTTACTCTGTGAGGGGGAGAAGAATGAAGAAGTTAGATTCACTAGACCCCACTGTGGTGCTGGGCGGGGAAGCCCCTGAGAGTGAGCCTGTCCTGGATGCCTCCCCAGCAGATGACCCTCACGCCTAAGCAACTCGGGCAGCAACAGCAGCTGCTTGGGGGCCTTTCCATTTCCAAGAAATAGAGCTCTCATGGAATACTGCAGGGTTTTCTATACTGAGATACCTGATTTCAGAAGCCTGCTATTCTAGGTCACCTCATTTTCTGGTGAACTTTGGAACCAACAGTCCCAGAAGGCATAGTCATTCATTTAGTGATGCAACACAACTTTAAAGTGGACTTCCAATTATGAGCTGAGCATTTTATAGACAAAGAATCTCCCTGGTGTGGCCAAATATTTTAGGAGAGCACACATTAAAACACTTGTGCCTAAGTGTCCTCAAGTGGCAATGAGTCTTCAAAATACCCGGCTTGTGCCTGACATAGAGAAGACATCCAAAATATATTTGTTGAATAGGGAAAAATAGGTGAGGGAAGGCAGAAGTTAAAGTTCTTTGTCCCTCAAGAAGCTGAGTTAATCCTACAGCAGAGGTAGACTTAGCTCCCAGGAACACAGGAGACAGGGCCTAGTCACAAGGCTTTACCTTTAGGGCCCACCGAGACCTCTGCGGTGCATGGAACATTATCAGAGACTTGTCCAGTATTTTGGGTTGCTGTGTTTACCTACACTATTTCTTCTCTAGCAAAACCTGCTCACATATCCCCTGTGTACCTAGGACCGGAGGTCAGTTAATTTCATCTCTACCAAGAGGGAGAGCTATTCCAAGCTGTCGGGTTCCTTATGGGCACCTCTCCTCTGCCTCCTTTGACATCCATCTTTCCCTTTTTGTCTTTCCCTGCCCTCTCCTTTGCACCATTTCCTCATCTCTTTTATTATGATGACTTTGAAAGACTTGCTGCTACCGCCATCTGGTCCATAGCATGTGTATCGCCAAGGGAAGGTGGGAACTTAGGAGGCCCAGTGGCTCCTGGGGGACACAAAGTAGAGGCCATGGGGTATTTGGGGCACCACAGAGCTCCAGCGAAGAAGAGAATCCCAAGGACTGTGGTCCAAATGGCAGCCATCTCGCGATGATGCTACTCCTGTTTTCCTACACCCAGTCGTACAGGTGTCCTGGCTCAGGGCTACCCAGTCAGGTACTGCCCTGCCCTCACCTCATCAGCTGGCCGCCGGTGCAGGCAGTGGGGGTTGAACTTGTTTACGTGCAGCACATGAATGGCACATTTGATGCTGAGATGATGTAGTTGGCTGGTGACTTTTAAGAAGAGTAGATCGTTCTGGAAGAGTAAAGTTTTGGTTGATGAACTGGAGTTTCCAAAGTGACAAAAGACCCCTGAGGTTCCTTCCCAGGTGAAACGTAGACAAGTCAACCACATCTCAGCAGGTGCACATGGACACACCAACAGCTTCCCTTACCTGCTTGTATTTGGCTACTTGGACAAATGACATGATTTTAAGACCTTAAGAATGTGAGGGAGGTGGTGGAATCAAGTTTAAAATAGCCACCACAGGGACACCTAAGCTGAGTGCTCACAAGAATGACTGAAATAATGAGAGCAAAACTCCTTACCACAGTTAAGTATTGCAGCATGCGCCCATCAACCCTGGATTCATGAAACTGGTCTTTGTATTGGGGCAACCCAATATCATCAAGCCAACCTACAGAAAGAGGAAGAAAGAGGCGCATCAGGATTCACGAGAATGGGAGAATGTGGATGCCAAAAAAAGGGGACCACAAATGATCATTTTGGAGTTCCAGCTGCATTCCCCATAAGGTTTAGTAACCCATCTGCCTTTCCCAAGGAGACACCCATCTTTGAGGCACACATTCTCAGGGAAGCTCTGTCTACCCTGAGGAGCTGCCAGAAACATTATACACATGTCTGTCCTTACGTGTCACCCAAATATGGTCTAGAAGTGCTGACTTCTCCTCCTGCTTAGTGTTGATGGCTTTTACTGCTAAAACCAGCTTCTTCCTGTGAAGAGGGTGCTTAATTCCTAGCTCCTGAAATTAAAAGATGAAGACAGATATGAAATTTTGGTGGGCAGCTTGACCCTCCAAGGATGCTGTGTGGGTGGAGATATTCCACCTGGGTGGCAGCGGAACCCTGCACAGCGTCAAGGGATCAATTTGCAGCGACAGAAGGAGTCTCGCCTCCTCTGTCCACTCTCCTGTGTGCGGAGTGGGGAGTGAGAGAGTTGAGGGTGGAGGAGGAGCGGCAGGGGGACTCATCTCCCCAGGCATTTGTTTGGGGAAAAATGGGAATCTCTTTGCTTCGGGCTCAGCCCTTACCTTTTCCATGTCCTGAGGGGTAGCTGTCAGTAAAGTGTGGCCAGAAGTCACCCACTGCCTGGCAAAGATCACGTATTGAGCCAGGCCGAAGTCTTCCAGCCATGTACACACACGCTCTGTGCTCCACTGGGCGAAGGGGGCATTGGCGTCACTGGGAAGCAGGAAAATACCCTGTGCTGTTAGTGGGAGGGCCTGAGGCTTCATCCGAACACAGCTGAGCCTCACAAAAAGGGGAACTATGTTTTAACAAACAATCCCCATCATGGGATCTAGCTGAAAACTATTCCACTACAGCACACTCATTTGAGGTGGTCTCACACGGGTGTCCAACCTTTTGGCAACTCTGGGCTACACTGGAAGAAGAAGAGTTGTGTTGGGCCACAGATTAAATGCACAAACACTAACAAAAACTGGTGAGAAAAAAAAAAAGGGGTTTTAAGTAAATTTACAGTTTTGTGTGGGGCTGCATTTATAATCATCCTGGGCCGCAGACTGGACACTTCTGCTAGAGTTTCCGGTGGAAACACCTGGTCTGAACTGCAAATCTGTAGGTGCTGAGAGCATGGGGCAGGTGCACGATCCTCGTGAGGCCGTGTTTACATGTGTTGCTGTCCACGCACATGTGTACACATGCCATGAGCCCAGAGTCCTGCCCTGTTAGGATGAAGAGCCACACTGAATCATGTTTTCAATAGGGTTCAACATCATTTTTTAGGAAAACACCCAGAAACTAGGAAAAGGGGGTCAGTACTCTAACATTAAAAAAAAACAAAACAAACCCTCTAATCAACAACAGTAATACCTTATTTATTAATGAAACACTAGGGGCATTCATATTAAGGCCTAAAAAAACAATATGTATTATCAGTATTAATAACACTGGTCTGAAAGTTGCAGCCAGTATAAGAGGACTTATAAAAATAAGCATAGCTAATAGAAAGGTGAAAATAAAAGAAAGCCAGGCCTTTTAGGTGATATGACTGTTCACACAGTAAACCTAAGAGAACTCAGTAAGGTGGCTATTTATAACGTACACACCCAGGTAATATTTATGGCATACACAAATCAACAATTTTCTATATACCATCAATGCACAGACACCAACCCTTTTTTTTTATTAAAATAATTTAAAAATCCCACTCTCAGCAACAAAAATTATAAAATGCCTGGGAGTTGTCCTGTATAACTGTGTGTGGGGCTGGGGAGGGGGAGTGGTAACTCTAACATTCAACTGAGCAACATAAAAAGACATGAATAAATGAAGAGCTAGATCATGTTTCTAGACAGGATGACTGGGTATTACAAAGCCATCAATTCTTAGAAACATCAATTTTTCATGTGAGCTGTGAATATTAATGGCATACTTAAAATCCCTATAGAGTCTTTTGGGGGCTAGCAGGAGAGAAGAAGTTGACAAAGCAACTTTATATTCATTTTAAAAAATCAATGGGGATTTATGGAATATTAGAAGACTAGATATTTCAAAAGATTCCTTCCAGGAAAGTACCCCTAATATGCTGGTTAAAAAATATTTTTTTTGAATGCCTGCTTGAGTTGTCCTTCAAGTGACAGAACTCCTTAAAGGGCAAGAATGATGAGAAAGTGCTCTTGCCTCTTCCTCCAAGTACCTATAGGCATGAGTGATGTGTACTCGTGGCGAATGGGAAAGGCTGGGAAGCTCCGCGCTAGGAGCTCTGCCTTCCACCTCTGACTGCCTGGGCCATCCGGCCCCTGCCCCCACCCCGCCCTGGCCAGGGTTTACATAGTTTTTGGTAGATGGACTAAAAGGAGCCTTACCTTTTCTGACCCTTGGGGTCTCTGGTCCTAGAGAGTCTTGGCCCTGCAGTTGCCCGGAGCCCTCCTCGTCGAAATTCCACCATCCCCGGGGCATCAGTGTTGAAGTTTCCTGACTGAGTTCTTCGGATTCTGTGCGGAGAGGCATCGGCGGAGACCGTCAGGGCCAGTCTGCAGGTGGCAGGCAGGCCCCGCACGCTCCAAGGCGCTGCTCCCCAGAGCCTCCCTGGAGGTCAAGGATCATGACCTGTGACAGCTCCTTGGCCAGACCCAAACCTCAATTCTATTCCTGCCTCTGGGATTTGGGCCACTCCCCGTGGGAGTGACAGTAATCGCTGGTCATTTCACACACTGGGTCAGTTGGGCCAGCAGCCAGCTTTCTAGCTTCAAAAATTTCTTAAGATACAGACTGACCCCTAAAAAGGAAGAAAGTGGTCTCACACATGCGTCTCTCCCAAAGCACGTGCGGCTGAGCTGCAGAGAATGCGCTCAGGGGTGTGGGACGGAGGGATGTCTAGGACGAGTGACATATTAGGCAACTGGCTGTGTTTAATGGTTGCTTTTCATAGTTCCCTCTCTCTGGGCCCTAAAAAAGCAATCCTCAAATCCTGGCCTCTAAATGTGACCACCTACTTTCACTGCTGTTCCAACATCTAATTGAATAGGGGTTTATGTAGATCCTTCGCCTAGTCAAGAATATTAGCTCCAAGCAATATCATTACGGTCATCATCACCAACTTACTTTCCCCAGAATTTCTTGATGCCTTTGGGGCTCCGTTTGCCATCTGGTGTCAGGGGAGACTGGGGGCCCGACTCAGTACCAGACGACGTGGATGATAAGTCATTGGCCATAGTAGGGTCGTCCCAACCACTTTCTGTGTCTCCTGAGATTGGAAGGATGGGATGAAGTGTGAACGAGAGGAACGGACGTGACCTTTAGGAACTTCTCCCCCGAGGCTGGGCCATCTCCCTCCAGTGGGCGTTGGGAAGACTCTGCCCAGCTCTGCCTTCAGGGAAGAACTTTACACTGAGATCTCAGTCGGGGGCTCAGGCACACCCCAGGTTTCTCTCTGGGGAATTAGGGCACTTAAGGTTGCAAATCTGGGTGAGCTTATGTCTTCAAAGTCTAAGGGTTTGGGGTCCAAGTACTTGCAGGTAACCCCAACAAGGAGCTTGCTTGCTTTTTCCCAAGGGAGACTGGAGAATGCAGGCAGGGGGCCCTGGCTGAGTGCTCGGGAGGGGGTGTTCGGGTAGAGAAACAGGGCATCTCACTCTCCACCTCACCTGGAAGGGTACAGTACCTAATATGGGGGCACTGACACTCCGGCCACGATCTCCAGCCAACCAAGAAGCAGAGAAGCCACATGAAGAAGCAAGAGAGGCCCAAGTCCAGCCCACCAGAGTTACAGGGAAGCAAAGAAATAAAAAAGAGAGTCATCGAGCAAGAGGGAAAAACTCAAACAGAAAGAAAACAAAACCCACAAGGAAGGAAGGGGTGCATGATGATGAAGCGCGGCCCGCAGGGTCAGCGCACGGAGGGGAGGTTTCGTGTGAGCGGACCGAGCGCTCTTGGCGTCACTTCCTGGCAGGCGAGGTGTCCACACACACAGGGAGAGGGAGGGGGAGTGTCAGGGGCTGAATATACTGGGCCCCGCACAGCCTGTGTAAGTGCCAGGGCTTACTTAGTCAGACCAGAATGTTCAAAGCCAGAGTGTCACCAGCACGTACTCACTCAAGGGCTTCTCTGGAGCTCCTGTGGCCAAAGGCAGAATTGGCCAAGGGCAGAAGCCAACACACGGGCTGGCACAGGGACAGTCAGGGGGAGGAGCCAGGGCCAGGAGAGCTCTGCCAGGCCCACGACACTCCCCGCTGGGCCCCATTGATCCGCTGCTGCTGTTGGGACTTTTATGCATGAAAAGCCCCAAAGACCTCCATGGTGTCGGGGCCTAACCACCAAAAGGATACCTGTGGGCTGATATTCTTGCCCCCTGGCCACTGACTCCATTTCTCTAAGGAAATGCTCTCCCTTGGAAGAGCCCATAATATCATCTACTGGAAACAGAGGTTGCAGAGAGGAGGGCAGAGACAGGAGAGAGAAGATCGGGATGACAGAGTAGGGAGAGTAAGGGCCGGGGAGGATGGAGTGGGAGTCTAAGAGGGAGGGGAAAGAGGAATGATGGGAACGACAGGAAGGGGTTCAAGAGAGGAGAAAAAGAAAAAGGAGAGATAGGGGTGGAGTAACTGCAGCTAGAAGGAAAGGGAGGGTATGCGCCCTGGTTTTCTGGGCTCTGAAGTGTTTACTGAAGGCAACATTCTGCGCAGGCAGGGAGCCATGGTCTCTGGACGCGGTGTGAGTTGTCCCGTCCGCCCACCCTCACCATGCTCCGTTTGCGGGCTGCAGTGGTGGGCACAGATCTTGTGCAACAATTGAAGTGCCACAGCTACTGCTCCAGGGGCCCCCAGCCCAGGGGCTGGACACTCACTCAGCCTCAGCAGGCCACTTCCCGTGGGGTCAGGCTGAGAGGCAGCGGGAGTAGAGTTGGCAGCATCTCCATTGGGCATGGCTCCTGAAAGCTTCCCAGGTAACGTTGGGTATTTGTGCTCCACCGGGAAAGGGCTGTCCTGGGGAAGGAGAGATGTTGAATTAGCTGTCAGACTCAGACTCAAACTGAGTTAGGAAATCTTTGGCTGCAGGAGAAACTGCTTGTTTTCCAAGAATCATTTTTTTACTCAGGCCAACTCAAAGATCCCACAAAGATCATTTAGTCCATGTCAGGAAAAAGGACCAGAGTTCTGAGAAAGGAAGAAACTTGCCCAAGGCCACACGCAGTGAGACAGGGATGGAGTGAAGGCCAAATTCAGGACTGACTGCAACTGACCTTAAGCAGGAAGTGGAGCCATTTTGTACAGGGGCCCTTTGTACTTGGTCTAGTGCTCAGAGGCTCAGTGAATTAACAGCTGTAAATTACCCTTTGAGCTCTTTGGATATATAAACCAGGATTATAATAAAAGCAATTGTTTATATAATAACTAATATATAACATCACAGCTAACATATAGAGCTAATATATACTGTATGTTAATTATTACATATTATGATAATAGTAACTTTGAAAAATACAGATTATGGCAAAGTAAGAAGATATGCATGCTGTTGGGGAGATGACAATAGAAAACAAGTGCGGGGCAATGTGCCAACACGTAAGAACTTAGGGTCAGAGTCTGCATGAGGTTTAGACCTGATGCAATGGGCCCTGGCCATAGAAAGTGTCCCATAGAAACAAGTTGATTAAAAGGGAAAGAAGAACTGGAATTAGAGTCAAGAAAGATATAATGGCCCCCAAATTCACAAACCTGAGGGAAACACAGTGGAATGCATTTGAGTGAGAATAAAAGAACAAGAAAAATTGAAGCAACATTACCAAGGGAGTCAACTGTGCGTCACATGGTTGGACTCAGAAGAAAAGTAATATGAAAGACAAAATCGATGTCACGACTGACAAGACAGATTAGTAACAGGAGACTTCTGCAACTGAGACATCTTTTGAAGTTTCATTTAGTTAGCAGCCAAGTGCCCAATAAATTTCTCAATTCAGTTTGCTTACAAATGCATGTCCTAGAAATTGTGTGAAATCCAATTCATTCATTGGACATTGACCACTAATGCCCTATACATAAGGTCAGAAAGGAGGGATATGGGAAGAGTTAGCTAAATTCTCAAAGAATTCTGAAAGACTGGCTGGTGAAGTAGAAATAATCAGAACCTTGAGAGATGGAAACAATGTGACTTTCAAGTTCACGATGACCCGTAGGTAGAGACTGGACCTAATCAGACGTGGGCTCAAGACCAACAGTTTCTAAGGACTAGTCCATGGACTGGCTGCTTCCTAATCACCTGGGGCACTTGTAAAACCAATATAAATTTCCAAGTTGCAACTTAGTTCCAGGAGTCTGTATTTTTAACAAGCATCTCAATTACTCTGACGCACAGTCAGACCCATGAACCAGTCAGACTGGGGAAGTCAGAATTCAAAAGGTTTAGGCAATTGACGGGCATGACTCCAAGTTCCATATTATACAGGAAAGATGGGAGTGGGAAAGACTGTCAAAACAGACTTCCAGCTGCGTCATCACACATGCCTCCTAAGACAGGGCAGAGACAAAAAAGGCCACTGACGCGGGCTGCCGCCTGGGAACTTACTGAGGAGCTGCGATGTAAAGTGCGCATGGACCTAAGCCAAGGATGGACTTCCAAGGTGGCCCAGACCAGTGAGAAAGACAACAAAAGGGACCAAAGGCAATGGAAAGGGCTCTTAGCTCTGTTCAGCCAAGAAGAAAAGGTGGGAAGAACTCACTGCAGGAGAAGGTCATGCAAGGTCAGGATGGGACACAGGGGAAACAGGAAGGCTTGAACCAGGTCTGCTTCTCTGGTCTCCAAGGAGAAGAAGCCTGGTTATGAAGGAATGGCACTCCCAGGCAGGAAGCAGCATGTAACTGATTGCCCAGCACGGAGAGGCAGCACACCTGTGTGGGAGGAGCCCGGGCGTCCAGTCAGACCGACTCAGACAAAGAAAGCCCTTTCTCTTTAGCCTCTCTGAACATTTTATCGTTTCTAGATAGAGAAAAATAATTCCTGCCTCAGGCCTAGCACAGACACAGGCACAGAAAAGATCATGTGACCGGGGCCTGGAGTGACAGCAATATTACAAGAGCATCTCTAGATGGAAGACGACACGGGTCAGACCCATCAGGAACATCACGTTCAAGTGCGGTCCAGGACACAGGTGGAGGACCAATCCAAGGAGGCTGACTAGGAATGCCAAAGGTTTGTGAGCTGTGCGCAGGAAAAGAGGGTGTTTAGCTCAGAGTGGGCCTGAGGAGCTTACTTTCTAGAGCTGTCAGGAGCAGGGGGGAATGACTAATGCCATGGGCTCCGGAGGGAGAGCCAGGACCAGCGATGCACATGCTAGGGAAGCCCAGGAGATGTGGCTCAGCGACAGAGCTAGGGAGGAGTACAGGGGTGTCTTACAGCATAACAAGCTCTCGGTCGCCCACGTAAGGGGATGCTGTAGAAAGATTCTTGTGGCTGCAGCTGAGTGCACTGCTGTGCTTTTTAACCCAGAGCAACACGGAGAGAGTGAGAGCTGTCACACTCCTCTAACTGTGTACTGAGAGCGCACCGCCCTTCCCCGCGATCATATTTACATTGCCTGGTTAAAGGTGAATTTCCCTGAGTTAAACAATGAAGAAGATAATCAGAAACCCTATCCCAGAGATCATGGAGGGGAAAGCACACGCTGGGTTGCACATACAACAAAATGGGAAGTTTTGTTTTTTCTGTCCCCGTCTTACCCCTTAGAGTTCACATATTTTGAGGTTACAAAAGCTGTAATTTGCTAAATGAAAACACTCTAGCAAGCAATACAACCACATATAGGTGATAGGGACACATACGTAACATACCTTGGGTTCTTCTACCAGGGAGTGTTTGTTCCTGTCAACACACTACGGAGACAAAAAGGATTTCAATTATGTGGAGAAAGAGAGACCTGTGCTAGTCATAAACCACAGCTCAGGACCAGCTTGAATCTGCAGGTCTCGTCCCCTCCCTCCCTATCGTTATGCCAGGCAACCGCCATCCATGGCAGGACACACAGATTGCTGTCGAACCCCAGAGACAGATGCCCCAGGCAGCTGCCAGAAATCTGACCAGGAGGAGCAGGAGGCACATGGCCATGGGAGCGAAGCCCCTGAGTGGGCCGTGGCTCCTGTCACCTCCAGCCTTCATGGTTTTCCACTGTATCACCAGGAGGCTGGTGTTCTGCTGGAGACCAAGGGGTCCTCTGCAGTGGGGCTCAGTGGAGGTGCTCTCCCAGGGCAGGGCGCCTTGGTCTCCAACGTCCTCGCTCAAGAGCCTGTGACTGTCTCCTCCAGCACAGGGGTCACCCACATGGCCGAGGGCTCCCTTGTAAGGGGCCACAAAGCCCTCCTCATCTTTCCAGACTCCTATGAAAGCTTTCCTTCCAATATTCTAAATTATCCTGTAGCTCACTCCTGGGATCACCTCTGTTACCCGCATTACTTCCTCATTCAGAATCTCTGTAACACTCTTGGTGCCCTGGGGACCCAGGGCCAGTATTCAAGGTCTTCTTGAGCTTGATATGCCTCGTGGTCCTGGTCTTGCCTCCTCCTACTCCCCGTTTCTGAAAACCTGCCTGGGCCCACCTCAATATCTTTCCTCATCAACTCCAGGCAGCACTTCCTGACTTGCCTGGCCGCTAAGACGCCTTGGCCCACACCTGACTGGCTTTCTCAAAATGTTCATGGAATTCCTGCATCCTCATTAACTTCATAAAAGCCTCTGCAAAGTGGATGCCAGGACCCCGCCTATGTGTCCCAGCACTGTGCCGGGCACACAGAAGTGACTCCTGAGCCTTATGGAGAGACTGATGGGCTGACCTTATCCACAGATTCACTTCTCAAGTCTTCTAGGCTGCAGGAGAGTTTTTTCAGAGCCCTGGAAAAACACAAAAGAAAGAGTTCTGTAGTCTGTCTTGGGCTCCGGGCCCAGGTCAGGAAAAGGCCACCCTCTTATCATAACCATTACACATAAGATGGAAGTGGCTGATCTTGGGGATAGCCTGGTGGGACAATGTGTTTGTGAGGGCATGAGCGCATCACTTAAATCCAAATCAAAAGTCCTTGGCAGTCCTCAAAAAGCTAGAATACACTCAATTATGTTGCCTTAATGTGAGCTGTTTTGTGATTGTAAAAGATCAATGCCTACACACTCAAATTGAGGAAAGGTGCCAGGACAGCCTATCTGTGAGTCCAAGCATAATCCAGGGAGGATGAATTAATTCAGAGTGCAGATGAGCACATCAGCCAGCCCAGCTCCAAAGCATTACCGGCTAGAATTTTTTAGGAACACTGGCTCTTTGGAAAGTGGGGCTGTAAGACTGTAGGCTTTGGAGATTCAGCACACTCTGGGGAAGCTTCCATCATGCTTATGGCCATCTTCTCCAGATACAGTGGCTGAAGGACGACCTGCTCTTGGCCATGAAGCTCCATATCTTCCTTACTTGGAAATGTGCTCTCAAGACTGACACAGGGAACTAGACATAGGTTCCTTTTAGAGGGAACCAGACAGATGACAGCCAAATGACCCCACAGAGCAGCCCATTATAAGTTCATTGCTATGTGAAGCTTCCCCAAAGCAACTGGACCAACTTCCCTGTAGGAGAGAGGGACCTTCCTAGGGAGCATGACTTGTCACACGGTTAGATTCACCCTGAGAAGAGGAAAGACATCCACAGGGACTGACAGAAATGGCAGGCACCCATCATGGGATGCTCTCAGCTCTGATGAGCCACTAGAGAGCATGGACGAGGTGCAGCTACCTTTCCTCTGAGGATCTAACCCCTGGCCAGGGCTCTCCGTGGTGACAATGACCCAGACGCTCAGCTGCTGGAAAAGAAGTCCCTCTGTGGCCAGGGGTGATAGGCATGGCTCGTGGCTGCTCCATGGTTTTGGTGCCATTGTAGTCACTGTTGGGGCCTAGATTTCTGTCCTGATGGTGTAAGGGCAGGTATGCCCAGGACATGGTGGTCATGCTCATCATGTGAGGGGCCTGAGGGCACCACAGCTCTGGGGAAATGCTTCGGCCTCCTACCTGGTTTCCAGTGATTTCTGTGGAAGTGGAGGTGGCCCCGCTATGGGAGAGCTACATCTTGGAGGCATCTGTACCAGGAAGAGAAGAGTCACCGTAGAGGACAGGCACTGTTTGACGGCCACCCACCACCCTCTCTCCTTCTTTGGACGATTTTCTCTGGGGAGTTACATTTCTGCCCCTGGGTATAGCCGTGGTGACTATGTGTATTCTGGTGCTTTGCTCTTTCAGAATACAAAGAGGTAGGTGTAAATAACCAATCGGGTCAGTTTGCCTCTCCCTCCTGGGCCTACATTCAGATCCTAGCAGCAGAGACCTGACAAGAGTCCTGAGATTTGAATCCCAAGGCTCTGGCCTGCCCTCTCTAAGCTCAGTCCCTCAGCTTTCCCTTCCATTCAGTGAGCCACTGTTCACTGTTTCAGAAGTATTCCCTTTTGGCATAGGCTAGCCAGAGTGGATCTCTGTTGCTTGCAATGAGCAACACTGCAGCTGATACAGTCACTCAACAAGCATGAGCAAGATCTACTATCTGCCAGGTCCAGTGCTAGGTTTGGGGCCAGCATGCCCCATATCAGGGAGGCAGACAATTAATTAGGATAAAAGATCAATGCAACATGTCCTTATGGCACCTATAGCTGTAGCATGACATGCACATGGAGGAGAGGCAGGGGCTCTCACTGGTGGGAAGGTTAGGAAGTCTTCAGAGGGAATGTGACTGGAGCTGATTCTTAAGAACTGAGAACGGGCTCGCCCAGAAGGCAAGAAAGGAGAGAGCATCACAGGGGGCATGGACTTGAGCTGATGGTGGTGCCTAAGGACACACAGTCTGGTGTCTTCATTCTTGGACTGACTGCAAAGACCACCTCTTTTTTCTCGAGCTCAGAATCTTTTTGGTCTATTATAGGATGAGTTCTAGCATTATAGTACCGTTGTTAAACCCTGGCTTTTTGGTCAAAGAAACCTGGCTTCAAGTCAAGGTTCAGCCATCTACTTGCTGCGTGATCTAGAGCAGATTACCTAGCCTCTCTGACCCTCAGCTTTATCACAATAAAATAAGGATCCCAATGGGGTGTCACGCGGAGTAAATGAAGTGAGCCATATACAGTGCTCCTCACAGTGACACAGAGTACGTATCAGTTACTGCTATTTTATTCTTGCCAGCAATCTGGAATGCTTGTTTTAACTAGGTAACTGGGTCACTGGGTGACAATTTTACTCTTTCCTTAATTAAAAGGATTGAGCTAGACTGCTAAGATCCTGTTCAATTTGGCTGTTCTGGAGTTTCTTGGATTTTTTAAGACCCTAGATTAAAGCCCCTTCTCTACCTGAGATCTGCGTCTGTGAGTCTGCTTATTGGTGTCTATCCTAAGTCCAGAGAGAGTCATATAAAAATAAGCAAAAGAGGAGAAAGAAAATCTGTATGTGGGTTATAGGATCTACAGGGGACATTTGTGAAGTAGGAATGTATCACTTCAAAACGGGCACTTATCCCTCTAAATGAGCAGGACACATCCATTCATTTAACAAATACTTGTTGAATTCTACTGGGTACCAGGCATTATTGCGAACTCTGGAGAAACAGTGGTAAGTAAAAGCAAAAACAAATTTTGGTCTATGCTTATATTCCAGACAGGAAAGACAAAATAAAAAAGAAATGGGATTAAAAAAGAAAATTCCTCCCCTTGAAAGCCCAGTATCCATTATTCTGTCCTCCCAAGCGGAGCACAGGCTTATGCCTGGACCCTTGGCTTTCTTTGGGGCTCTCCCCAAGGCCTCCGGGGGCCACTCCATTGATTTAAATTTTCACCTGTCAAGATTTATACCTAACAGGTGCCTGACCAGACCCTCCCCCGTGCTCAGGGCAAGCTCTTAGAGCCTGCTGAAACCCTACATCATGGATATAAACACAGCACCTCGGGTTTAAATAATTCTTCGGGGCCTTTATTTGTAGTGTTCCGCTTTCTGAAACTTCCCTCCAGCTCTTCCTCATTGATTGAGAGACTTCTCTCTGAAGGTCCTGAAAGCATTAATAAAGAAAAGATGATCATTATTATAATTGTACCACAGAACCCTAACATTGTTTTTCTTTCATTCAAGACTAAGGAATATACACAGGGGTATTAACAATGATTTGGAAGATTCTTTGGAGTATCTGAGCATGGTCTGCCAAGAGGGTCGGTCTCAAGGTCAAAGCTCCTGTGTGGAACAGAGAGAAGGCAGCCCATGGTATCCCTCTCCAGCTTTCTGACTCCTTAGCCACAGGCAATCAGGTCCTGAGACTGACTTGACCCAAGATCTCAAAAGATTAGAGAAAACAGGGCAGCGACATGTATACTGTAGTGGGATGGGAAGGCCCCAGGCAATGACCACTCAGCCATAATCCAGTTTGGGGCTCAGTTTCTCCCTAAGACGAGGCAGCAGCTCAGCCGGAATCAGATTCCTGACTACCCTCAAAGCAGCCCTCTCCTGTGAAACAGCTGCTTCCTCAGGATCTGTGACGGAAGCCCAGGTCCGTGATACGAACACGGCAGGCAGCCTGGCCCATGCCTCACTGAGCCCATAAGAACATGAATGCTGCCTGTATGTTGCAGTCAGTCTGGGCAGCAAATATGAAATGTAAACAGCTCTTCCTGCCCTGTGATTTCCTGTGGACTCCGAGGCACCTAAAGACCCATAGAAGCCTCCCCAAGTCCCTGGGAATCTATCTGCTGGGTAAGTTTTACATTTTCCAGGTGGTGGACAAGCTCTAATACCCAATAAGGGCACTGACCTGAATTTTGATCCAGGTTTTATTCTGCTCACTGACTCTCTAAGGGGTAACCTGGAAAGATGCATAGGAGATTCTCCAAGGGTGGGGGTTCCATTTGAAGGCTTTTTTTTTCTTGGTGATCTGGATAGTCCCTGAGAGTTCTGAACTGAGTGCCATTTGACAACATTTCTGGAAGGCTTATTTATTTATTTGTCCGTTTGTTTGTTTGGGATTGCATGATGCCTTTTTATTTCAGATATTGCAGGTTGCAAAATCTTTACAGTTGGAACAATATTTTCCATTTTGCATTTGACTCCAAAACAGAATCCCAGCCAAAAACAGCTTGTGTAAAGTGAGAGGCATTAATCATTGTCACTGCTGTCACTGACTGTGACCTCACCATGCTTGACAGGAGTCGGGGGGTGGGGGGAGCCATGCTTCATTCTATTCAGCATTTTTCTGCTTTAAGACAATATTTCTGGAAATCTTAACAGCTGCCAATTTCCTACAATTCAGGACAGTCTAACCAGTTCTGTTCTCCAGCATAGGGTCTTCCCCAAAAGAAGATGAAACACTTTCTGGTCGGACTGCCCCAGATTTAACACAGTAGCTGGAATACCTCCGAGAGAAAATGGTGCTCTTACCTTGAGTTGCCAGCATGATCTCCTTCACCCTTCGGTACTGGTTTAACAGCCCCGTGAGCTCCTCTATCCGACGGTCCTGTCACAGTGCGAGAGCAGACTCACATGTAAACACCACCACTGGCATGTCTGGTGAGTTGATGTGGGGGCCCAGGCTGTGTTCTGCGTCCACTGAGAGGAGATGCCATGTGGACACACGGAGTCTGGGCCCGTCCCAGGGCCTGGCCTCTCAGTGGTCTGCCTCCCAGGCAGCTGTAGGCACTCTTGCCTCTCCCTAAGGGCTCTGTCCAGTCTCTAGCCACAAAATAATCCCTGTCTAACATAGCCTTTGAGGGGCTGAAACAGTTTCAAACAGGAAACTCATGGTCCCCCTACCCTCCTGAGGTAACCATTAAAATCTGCCTCCTGATCCAAATGTTTTCCTCTGGAGCTATACACAAAAAAATGAGAAGACTAAAATAAAACTGTCTATTCAGCCCAATGTCCTTGCTTGTTATTTAGGAGTCTGAGGTTCCTTACACAACAGAGGACATTCCCATAGGGATCATTTCTTTCAGCAGAGGCCTAGGAACTTGGGAGGACACACAGACACTGGACTAAGACAAGTGGGCATGAAGCCTAGCTCTGCCATCTACTGTTACCCAATCTTGGCCAAAACTATTCAAGTACTTTGAGTCTGTTTCCTCATCTGCAAAATGCAGGGGTGTGTTCTTCCAAACTGTTTTTAGTGCTAGGTGGGTCTTCTATTGTATAGATGTATTTATTTTATGGTCACGAGGGAATTATATGTGAAGAATATAAGATGCCAGGACAAACAACATGCCATCTGGTGTCTCTATGATGGGTCTATCACTGGATCATGCATGTGGGAGATGGGTAATTGTACTCTAGTTTTGCTAGGAGTCTAAGCAATAGCTCTGACATGTAACCACAGTGCTGTTTTTTCCACCACACCAGCATGAACAGGCATGGCTTTAATCTGCCTTTGGGAGATTCCATTTAGGCAAAGTTCCCACACATCAAAGCCAAAAACAGGCTGAGGTCTAGTCTCCAGGAAGCAGAAGCCATTCTCCTGACACAGTCCTGAGTCGATGGCCTGATGGGCATGGCTGTGTCCAAAATGTCAGTGACAGACCAGCAGGGACCAAACAGAGCCAGGGATGTCAGCAGGTAAAAGACAGGTTGCCCAATGACAATCTTACCTTATCTTCATTGGCAATAAGCAAAGTTTCCATCCCAATTTTTAGACGTTGAATTTCTTGGTCTAAAAGAATTAAGGTGTGGAAAGAATTATTTCTATAAATACAGACAGCTACCCCCCTATGCTAAGATGCTCCGCAAGTGAAAACTTGAGGACTCACTGTATGAATAAATTACTCATGGACTTCTTTACTTCTTTAAAGAGCCCATAATGGTGCCTGGCATAGAATTCAGTCTCATCAAATATTTGTTGGATTCATAAATGAATGAACGTATCATCCTGACTTCTCTTTATAGACGATTGTGAGGAAAAAACAAAATGTCACCATTACTCAACGGTGACATGGAGAAAAATCTTGTACAACTAACATCTTACAAGAATACTGACATATACCCTTTACAGCTTGATCGGCATATACATGGGCTGAAACTAGTTTTAAAGAAAATCATGCAGTCCCATGGACTGTAGCAGAAAACTTAAAATAAGGGGGTGGGGAAAGGTGGTATTTTATAGTTGAATGGAAATGGGAAAGGAATGATTAGGTGAAAGAGTTGATTACTTAGCTTAATGTAAAATGGGATAATTAGAATTGACTAACAGATGTTTAGACACATCTTTGTCTAAACTCTATTGCTAAGGAAAACAGTCCTGTTTCATCATACATCTACAGAATTTCCCTATGGGCTGAGGGATCTGTTTCAGTCTGTGGTGGACAATGCATGGCCTTTTCTCCCTTTGGACCCAGCAGGGGCTTTCTTGACTTCTTCCAAACGGGTCTGGAGAGCCAGGTCAAAGGCCAATGCCTAATGGAGCTGGATGTCACGCTGCCAAATATTTGGAGGACTAGAAAGTGCCACATAATTAGGTTTTCCAAACAAGGATACACCTGTACCCAAACTGGGTACTGCAGAGAGAATAGAGGTGTCTATATATGAAAAGTACAGGGAACAAAATTATAGGCACCCCATTTTGCTTTTTGGATGCTTTCTATATCCAACAACAATAGAAAGAATAAATTTATGTACTTGGTATATGTAGTGGTAGGGATATATTTTCAGAGGAAAGTGCAGAGTACTTGTTCATTATCTTAGGCTCTTGGCAGCTGAAGGCCAGCTTTGCAGCCCAGCATGTGGGGGGAGCAGTAGCTCCATATGAAGACTGGCATGCCTTGATGCTTTCAGTAGCAAATGACCAAAAGACCAGCTCCAAGAGGTACCTGATGGTGGAATGGGGCAGGGCCTAGAAGGCTTGGACTATGGAGTAGCAAAGGGTATAGAGGGGAAGGTCTCCTGGTCTACAAGTTATGGATTGGGGAGTTCTCTGTCCTGGTTTAGCATCATGGATAGTCTAGAATGATACCTTAGAGGGATCTAGCCTCCACATTCGGTTTGGCAGATGAGTGACATGCTCAATGGCTTGGGAAAAGAAAACCTGGGAAAGGGATTAGTAAATTGGTGGCTAACTTCTTTCACTAGCCTAAGCCACTGTTCCATGGCTACATGGCTTCCCCATGGATCTGAGCCAGGGATCCAAGCTAAGCAGTGCTTGGCCAAGGTAAGATTAAATAATAGGGCCAATCCACAGGGCTATGTGATCTCCCCCAGCATTAGCCTGGGCTAATAGGAAAAGTTGGAAGATGTGTGATCTTTTTGTATACAATACAAATAGCTGTAAATACTAAATATGTACTAATAAGAGGATTTATCCTCTAGTTTTAATCAGCAAGACTTGAACTCCTCGGGGACCATTCACCATCCTTCCATTTATTCAATAAATATTTCTTAGGAGCTACCATGGTCCAAATACTAGGCTGTACGGACATGGCCTTAAAGAAAAGATAGACACAGTCCCTGCCCCACAGTGAGGACAAGAGCCTATACAAAGAGAACCCCCAAAGTACAACACTGACAAGGTATAATAAATGCTATGGAAAAAAAAGAACACTGAACTTAGAAAGTAGGATTGGGGGCATCTGCATGAGGTCGGGTGGCCACAAAAGGTCTTTCTGACAGGTAACATTTAAGTTGACGTCTAAAGGATGAGCAATAACAAACTGTTTCTGTAAACTCAGGGCCTTGCACAAATATTGGACAGGTATCCATTAAGTGACTGAGTGAATTGCTAACACCTCCCCTTTGGCAATGACATAAAAACAAGTCCTTTCAATCAGGTGAACATCTAAAACTCCAGAGGTGGCCACATAGAACTTCAATGGTCAGAATGCATTTCATAAAAGCCTCCAGAGCTGAGTCTTCTGGACAGGGAAGGGGTTCATGGCAATGATGCCAAGATAGAGCTGTGTTTTATAGGCCCAGTCATGCACACATGCATGCATACATTCACTGGGTCATGTTTGCACACACATTGTGCATTAGCATGCCTGCTCACACAGGCATTCACATACTCATCCACACACATACATGCCTACTTAGCGCAGGACCCAGGGGCAATGCATTCTGCCACAGTCAAACCAGTTACCTTTCTCTGCATGGTCACTGTGGAGAGCTGCAGTCCGGGAGAGCTGGCTGTGCAGACGCTCAATTTCTGCATCCTTCAGAGCCACCTGCTCTTGCAGTTGGGCCACCTCAGCCTGGAAGAGAACAAAGGATCCCTACCCGTTCAGAGGGACTACCTTACTATAAAAATGTGCCCCAAGTCAGAGCCCAGAGCCAGTGGGTCCTAGGATACGTTAGGAAATTAGGGGCAGAGGCGGCAGAAGTGAGCAGTTAGAGGGGCTCACTGCCCTCTACACAAAGTGGAGCTCTGCTAAATAAGCTCATTCTTCCCGGACATTTTGGCCCTGCCCGTCTCTTGTCCTGCATCCTGCCCTCCACCTGCTCTTGGCCTGCATCTTCCCACCAGACCAGGCTCTTTCCCTCCACGGTTATCTGTGATTCGAACACCACTGGGGTTGGAGGAGCTGGGATTGTGTGCAATGGGAGGGCTGCCGTTGGTCTGGAAATGGATAATCTCTTTTCGGATGTGGTCTTCCTTCTCCCAAGATAGTTAGGCAACAGCATGTATTTACTCCATTGTTACAAGTACACGTATTTTTCATTCTTTCACTCCATTCAGGAAACACAGTGGAAATCAAATCACTACTGGTAGACGAAGAGTGAGCAAAGGGTGGCTTCCCTCAAACACCCTTCCACCCTTTGTGCATAGCCACTGCCTCTGCTCAACCTCCAGGCCCCCGTGCATGTTCACCCACATGGACATACCTACAAGCAGTCAGGTGCGCTAAGCAGAAATACTTTTGCAAATAAAGCAGGTAAGTACAGCCACACCAGTGCATACAAACATTCATACATGTACATACATGGACAGGTACAATAGATGACCCCCACATCTCTACTACATATAGCAGGTTAAATTTCATACCTAACAGTAGGTATGGTTATGTTCCTGATTTTCCATACTCATTAGATCATCAGAACTGGGCAGGTTCCGCTCCAAGAGGCATTGGTTATGGAGCCAAACTTGGATACTCTCACTTCCTATTGGGTGACCTTGGGCAAGTAAGTTAACCTTTCAAGGTTTGCTCATCTATAAAATGGGGAAAATGGCATTTACCTCATGGGGCTGTAGAAAGGATTAAATAAGATACTGGTTATGAAAAACTTAGCCTAATGCTTGGTAGATAGTAAGTATTCAATGAATGCTACTATTGCTGCTCTCATCCTGTTCCTTCCCTTAGGACAACTGGCTAGTTTTCTGAGCATCAAATGAGACTGTGTAAGAGGCTGAGAACCAACCCCTGAGCCAGGCAACAGAGCACACAGCAGAGACTCCTGCTCTGGCTGCAGCCCGTCCCACGTGGGAGTCCAGTCACAACCTGCCTTCACTCCTCAAGTTTAAGGGATCGGGCTGCCCTTTCCCACGGAGGCATGAGTATATCTCTGAACAACTCCAAGTAGCCAAGTGACCACTGGTCCTGTTGGTGGCTCCTCTGCCAAACAGGCCTGTGTCAGCTTCAGGACCCAGGACCAAGCAGCCACTCTGCATGGTCCCTGTGCTAGCCACTTTCTTACTTCAGACCTCCCTCAGTCTCCACAGAAAACCATGGGAGGAAGCAATGTCCCTGCGTGTTGCTGGGGAGCAAACAGGAGTTGTGTAAGATTCAAGGGTCAAGTTATAAAGCCATTGAGTGACCAGGCAAGGATGTAATCCCCACCTGCTCCAGAGCCAGGATCTCACCCACCACAGCAGGGCTGCTTCTAACATAATAGGACAAATGGGAGCCAATCTTACACAGCTTGGGCTCCCTGAGACCACCTCGAGAGCTTCTGAATAAGCCTTCCCAAATATCTCCCAAAAGGGACAGAGATGACCCCATAAATAAAAAGAGATGGCGCAGGTTGGCTTTCCTCACTCCAAAGTTTTCTGTGGAGCACTGCCCCGTGTTCTGGCTTCCACCCAGAGGCCAGAGAGCCGAGTCCATCTGTGCCAAACTGCCTGCCGAGGCTCCCAGCCCACAGCAGCTTTTCAAAGCTCATTCAGGGCCACGGAGTCCATGGGCTTTACCATGAATGGTGACAGTGGCTTCTGAGAAGCTCACCCTTGAGATGCTCAATCCAAATGCCTCTCATTTCTACAAGAGCCAGACTATTCTTGGAAAACACTTCTCTAAACCTTTCTTGTACCCCTCCATGTCTATTTCTCCCTTTCTTTGCAGGCAGGGTCAAAGCTGGTCTCTGTTAGGAATCTGCATACCTGACGCTTGTCTTTGGGCCCCACTGTAGACATCAGTGGTGTGCATCTGCTGAGGAAGACCCCCGGCATGATGAAGTCTCTGCTCTCTGAGATCTGCTTCTGGGTGAGGTCATTTATCTATTATTTTTAAAATCCTCACCCAAGAATATATTTTTATTGATTTGAGAGAGAGAGAGAGGAAGGGAGAGGGAGGGAGGGAGGGAGGGAGTTGGGGCGGGGGAGAGAAACATTGATTGTATGTCTCCCATATACACCTGACTGGGGATCGAACCTGCAACCTAGGTATGTGCGTTGACCGGGGATTGAACCTGCAATCTTTTGGTGCATGAGATGATGCTCCAACCAACTGAGTCACCCAGACAGGGTGAGGTCATCTATTTAAAACTTTACAAACCAAGTGGCTGGGCCCAACCTGCCATGTGCCAATTTCCACAAAATAGGCCAGAAATGACAGGTGCTCTGATATCCTTCGAGTGGTAGCCATCCCTGCAGCTGGAAGTCAACAATAGCCCAGAGACCCTCCACTTGATCATGAGGACAAAGTATGCTATTGCCATCGCCACCAAGGCTAGAGCCAGTGTCAGACGGACAGGGGTGCTCTGATTCCCAGCAAGTGCTGGGCCTCCTTGAACCCAGGACACACGCTACTGCCGCTGCTGCACTGAAAGATAAATAATCCCTGTTAGGGACTGAGAAGCTTTGCAAAGAAAAGTGAAGAACTTTCAAAACCAGTGAAGGTTTTTGCTGCAGGGAATCAGGATGGTGTAGGGAAGAGAGCATGAGTTTTGGAAGGACACAGATCCAGACTGGAACCTCACCATGGCTACCCTGAACCTCAGTTTCCTTACCAGTAAAATGAGGATGATAAACCAATAGACCTCACTGGGAATTTTTATGGATCAGACGAAAAAAAAACCTGCTAAGGGCTTGGTACATTCCGGCACGCAGGAGGTGCGCCACACCTGGTAGTTATTAAATAACTCTCGGTGTCTCAAAGTCTACGTGCCAAGGCAAAGCGTTTAGGTAACTTAAAAAGAAAAAGAGTTGTTTGGTTTCATAAGAGAAGGTGGTATGCACAACTTCAAAGGTTGCACCAAGGCAGGGCTCGCCTGACTGGAGCGCTGTGATGGGAGATTCTGAGCTCTCTGAGAAAACAGGGGTCCTGCCACCCGTGACTGGGAAGCACAGTGTGTCCAAGGCTACAAGTGGATAAAAACATCTGGATTGCCTAGGGTTGGTGCTGACTAGCTGTGAGATCGTGGGGAAGTTAATTAACCACTCAGAGCTTCAGTTTTCTAACCTGTAAAATGGTTAAGCAAAAATATTATATAGACTATTGACATCAACATTGTGTTCAGAATTTTCTTTTAATAGCATGATATAAAGTTGTATATAAATTATTAACACCAGAAATTGAGAGAGAGAAAGAGAGAGAGAAAGATACTGAGCATTCCAATAAAAAAAATGCCAGGAAGGAAATATTAATAGTGGTAGTTCCTGGTTGGTATGTGAGTGAATTTTTATTACTCTAATTTTTTTCTAGTTTAAAAATTCTCTATAATAAATATTATTGTTTTATAATAATTAAAAGATAACTTATAGAAAAAAATAAAACAAAAAAACCCCCTAGACATTAAGAAAACATCAATAAGTAGTAAAAATGAAAATGCCTACGGGGCCATGTACCAACACCCATAGGTGGCGCTGTGGAGACCTTGGGGAAGTGGCAGGTATGCACCCCACCCAGACGCAGCCCTGCCCAGGTTCCTTTGAGCAGGACTGCTGTTCCAGGGTGAGAGCTCCCTTCCCCCCACACTGTACCACCCCCACAGCAGCTGAACTCTATGTCAATGTGAAATGTCCTAACATTTAAATGACAATGAATTCAAAATCTTTAAATACAACTGTCAGGCCCCCTCCCCCCCCCAAAAAAAATTAGTGGCTGAATCCTACCCACATCTTTTAATTTCTGCATTTCAATTATTATAGGAAATGAAGGAAGAAACAAAGGAGGGAGGGAAGAAAGTTATTTCACAAAAGAAGTTATCCTTGGTGTCTTTTAAATAGCAAGCTCCTCAGTTCAATAGAAGCCTGATTTGATTTTTAAAAATATTCAAAGTACGCATCATTTTTTTTAAAGGAGTACATTCCTTGCTGAAAATAAAGCATGTTATTAAAAAAAAAACCTGATTATTAGAGGGACTGGCTAAACTTAAAATGAGGCAGCCAATATAACGTCGGCATTCATCTGCCTAAGGAGTCATCACTCACTCACTAGGCCCTTCTTGGCCCCGCGTCAGCTGATGGTGCTACGGGACCCAGCAAGAGGAGGGCGACTCAGTTACTTCAGCAGCTCATAATCTTGTGGGCTTTCCCCCATGAGAAGAGCCCTCCTGGATCTAATCTCTAATCTCTCTGCTGCATAATCAGCCACTGCTGTGTGTGCACACAGTAGGCTCGGTTTGCATTTTTCCATCTTGGGCTCTTGCCAAACCAGAGTTTAAACACAGACACTCCCCCTGCTGGGCCTCAATGCCTCCCCATGAGCATCAGAACTGCCCTTTACCTTAGTGGCCTTCAGCTTCCACTCATACTGATTCCGTTCATTTTCCAACTCTTCCACTTTGATTTTGAGGTGCTTGAGCTCTTGCAGTAACTCCTAGGGAGATGGGGAGAAAGACAAATTTCTGACGGTGACCAAGCAGGATGCTGTTCCCTGGATCTACAACCCTGGTTAAGGCCGTGCACAGAGGATGCCCAGGGCAGGAGCAACCACAGCAGGCTCCACACTGAGGTTTGAATCTTTAAATGTGGTGCTGTTTCAGAAGCTGTGTGGCCATTTAGAAACAAAGGCCAGAGAATTCTTGATGTAAGAAAGATAAAGTTGTCTACTTATTTTTAGAGCTGTTCTGCCTGGCCCTTCCTGACACCCATGCCCTATGTGGGGTAGGCCTGCCTCATACGCATATGTGTAGGAGCAGGACAGGTAGGGCTTGGGAGCAAGGGGAAAAGAGACGTGGAAATGAGGAAGCTCCTTACAAAGTAGCTGGAAGCAGGTTAATTGGGAGCATCTTTTTGTGCTCAGTGAGGGTTGAGAAACCCTGAGGAGGGTTTAGTGATCCTGAAAGGCTTCACAGAGGAAGTGCAGCCAGCAGGATAGACATAAAACACGGGAAACAAATGCTAAGTACCAAGTACAGAGGCCAGTCTGAGTGTTCCAGTTCAGAGGAGGGGGTTGATTTAAAGAAAGGAGGGAGGGAGAGGCGAGGGGGAGAGGATGGGAGATGAGGTCCGGAAGATAAGGTAGGGCCTGCTGAGAAGGCTTTGGATGAGAATATAAGGGGTTCTGATGCCACTGTGTGGACAGTAAGGAGCCACCGAAGATTTCTGAGTGGGGAAGTGATGTTTTAACAACTTGCCCATGGTAGAGCTGGAGTGCAGGCCCGCATCTTCTGACTCCAGGGCCCCTGCTTTCCAAACCATCCCTTCAGCAAAGATGGGACCTTGACCCAAACCAAGGGTCCTTTAACAATTGGCCCTGCTGACTGGCTCCTATCAGAAAAATTAGCATAAAAGTGATCACTTGCATAGACTTCCTGAACTCCAGACTCATCTAACAAACTTCCTACTTAACCTCTCCATGTGGATGGCATTTAAGCATCTCATGACTGTGTGGGCCCAAGGGGAACTCCTAATAGCCCCTCTTAGACTTCCCTAGCTCACTAAATGGCAGCTCCATCCACCAAATTGCTCGTGCAAAACCTGGGATCCATCCTGGGCATCTCCTCTCCGCTTCCTCCTATATGTGTCATTCATCCCTAAGCCTTGTTAACTCTCCTTCCAAGGAAATAATGTGAATCTCTCATTGTCTCCAACATGACACCCTGCTCTGGTCTGGCTGTTAGTGTTAACAGCCTGCACAGTCCCTTCATTGGTTGCTCCTTTGTCGTCTTGACCTTCTTGAATCCACTGACCCCTATAGCATCCAAGGGAACAATACCATTAAAACACAAACCTGATCCTGGCACAACCCTGCTTTCCAAAGTTCGTGAACTATACCATGACCAGCACAGGCTGGCCTGACCCTGGCGTGCTGTCTGCCTCGCACAGTACCCTGTTTACTGGTTATGCTCCAGCCACACTGGGAACTTTTTGGTTCCTCTTTCTGACTTGGGCCTTCACACGCACTATTCCCTCTGTCGGGAACTGCTGGCCAGGCTAACCCCTGCCCTTCAGGCCTCCCTCAGCAAAGCTGTCCCAGCCTCCACCCTCCGTCAGGCGCCCCTGCTCTGCCCTCCCGCGGCATCCTGGACATCTCCCCCACACCACTCGCAAGTAAACATTTGCTGGTGTGACTGCTAATGGCTACTTTACCTACACTGAACTCCATGAGAAGTTCTGCTAATCTCTGGCAATAGCAGGTATGCACTATTTCCTGATAAATGGAACCATGAAATTCAAGTCATCTTTTAACTGGCCTGGAGCTCTTTGCATTCTGAGACAATCCACCAGAAAGTTACATCGCTTACAGTTGAATTTTGTATGATAATTTATTAAGATTTTCTTATAGCTGAGGGGAGCATTTGTTGATGCCCTTAAAAACAAAAAACAAAACAAACAAACAAAAAAAACAGCTTCCATGCTAAGAGTACCGCATCCATGATCTGCCACGTTAGCTTTCCAGGCCTGCAGGGACTTGCAGCTGATCCAAGACCATTTTCTGAGAACATTTCTGGCCCTGCCCACAGGGCCTCCAGGCCTGCTGGCAGAGAACCAGAGTGTGCAGGCTATTGCCTGAGGGGCTGCCACTATGGGGACACAGAGCATGAAGATCTCTGGGCTCTCGTAACCTCTTTGGCAGTTCTTCTTCTAAGCTATCTGATGTCCATCATCGGCTATAAACGCTGGTGCACACTTTAACTTCCTTTAGAAGCTTTTCTGGGGTAACCACTCAACATGCCCCGGCACCTTCTCGGGGCTTCCCTATCCAAATCTACATTTATGTCTTAACTCTCATTTTCCCCCCTATATCCTTTAATGTAGGAGAAAATCTTCCCCATTGAGTGCCTCCCCTAATGCCTAGGTCTGGGCAGGGATTTTCAGCATATTCCCTAGTTGAGTACGGACCCTGGTAACCTCCTGCAGGGCTGAGGCCGGCCCTCTGCATCGCTCACGGCTACTGCGACCTGAACTTTCTCTTGGCCTTCCAAGTCCTCCAACAGTGGACATAGGGGGCGCAGGCTCATCTCTGTACAGCAGCCATCACCGGCTTAGCTCACATCAGTGTGAGCGGCCAAGTCCACAATGCCAGTCTGCAGGGCCCAGAGGTGGTGAAATCCCTTTAATGTGATTATGTGGCGACATTCAGATGATGACTTAATCAACACAGCAAGTAGAAACGTGAATTCTATGTTCTCGCTGGGGATAAACCTCTTCAAAAATAAACTTGAAATGATTCTTTCATAAAGCCATTAAAAAAAAACAAAACAACAAAGCCATGAGAGATGAAATTTCACTTCTTCTCCCAGCCCAGAAGCAGGCATCAGTGTCTGAAGTGTACGTGGGCTGGGCAGTCCTGAGGCTTCCTTTTGCACAAATGCCCAGGACCCACTCCCAGTCCTGAGGGAGATGAGTGAGCCACCTGTCCAAGGGTTGGCCTCACCTGCTCAGACCCTGCTCAGTGAGGGTCACAGAGCGCAGTGCACATCTGGAGGGAGTGTGTGAGTCTCAAATTCCGCCCGAGGTAACAACACATCCCTGTTAAGCCACGGCACGCTGTTCTGGTTAGGCAAAACCCCAGCCCCGCCACCAGCGACACACCCCGCACACGCATGCTCTGATATACTTAAGTGTGGTTCCTACAGGTGACCCCTCCCAACGGGCACAGTCCTGGCTGCAGGCCTGGGGCTCGGCCACACCATCGCTGGCAGCCACCTCCTCAGGGTGGTCCCTACTGAGTAAGAGGCGCTGTTGAATCTGCCTGTGGATGTCCAGCTGCAGCCTACACATCTGCTCTTGCAGCTCACTGATCACATTCAGAACTGACTGTAGGAAGGAAGAGAAAGGAGAACGAGCACTCAGGGTCAGTCAGCTCTCAGACACTGAATTCCCTAAGGGAGCAGCACGGAAGGAAGGGTACAGAGGGTGAGCAGTGGGGGGGCTGTTTGTGACCACCCACTTTCTTTATAGGAACCAAAAGACACAGCACTTTTCCTGAGGCCTGACCCATCCCTGGGCCAGCCCTGCATTTGAACAAACACCTGACAGCTCCTTGTGACCTACGGCACGGGGCGGGGGTGGGGAGGGCATGCTTGCATGTCAACATCTGAGGCACAGGGTCTAGCCACAGCAGAGGAAGAGGCACATATGGACACACCCCCTCTATTCACACCCCCGTGCTTCACACGTCAACTCCCCCCAAAACACACCAACCCCTGTGTGCAGGTGACACAGGACACACGCCATGCTCATGCACGCTAATACGCTTCCAACCCTAAACTCTCCCTCGCATGCCACACCAAACCCTACCCCTTCATCTCCCACTCCAAACCCGACTCCCCTGCCGCTTCAAGAACATTATGGCCTTTTATGGCAAGTTTGAGAATAACTGCAATCCTTGGAATTCACACCTACTCAGTTCCGGGTGCTTCACTAACAGCTCTCCTGAGTTTTCCTTTACCTACTCCACAGACATTTAGTGTCACTCTTACAGAGACCAATGGCACTCACGAGCAAGTGGAGACAGACACACAAAATAATCAGTCACAACAGGTAGCCAAGGAAACCGCAGGGCTCTCAGGGAGCAGTGAGTGACTGACTCTGCCTGGGTGAAGAGGAACGGGGGACGAGACTCAGGGATGCCGAGCAGCCGCATTCGAGACCCCTTCCCTGGTGCAGGAGTGAAGGAGATGGAGTCATGGCCCAGGGAGCAGGCGAGGATGCCACCTGTGGCGGTAAGGAACCCAGAGTTTGGGGAGGACTGTGACCAGCCTACAGTCAGGGATAGGGATTTAAGGAGACAGTTGGCAATAGAGCAGAGCAGAGGTGGGCAAAGAGCAGCCAGTTGAACTGTTTAGCCCCCTCTCTATCCACCTTCACTGACATCCTCAGCAAAGGCATGTGCTGTTGAGAAGTTTGCCCCTCGGCACCACGGGAACTACCCAGACAGGCTAGAAGGGGTTGTCCATCCCCAACAGCGACAGCGTTGTCTAAAACAAGAAAAGCTCTCACTCCCTATCTTGTTCTCTAAGTCAACACTGCCACCCCGTCCCTCACCAGTTTTTAAAGATCTTATTTATTTCTTTATTTCTTTATTTATTTTGGAGGGCGGGAGAAAGACAGGGAGAGAAATAGCAATGTGAGAGAGAAACATCGATCAGCTGCCTCTTGTACACGACACAACCAGGGACCGAACCTGTAACCCAGGCATGTGCCCTCACTGGGAATCAAACTGGCAACCTTTCTCTTTGCAGGATGATGCCCAACCAACTGAGACACACCAGCAGGGCTATAAATCCCTTTTTCAAATGTAGAAGGGAGACTGAGGGAGTAGGGGACAGTTTGTAGCTGAAAGGGTGCTGGGCTAAGGCCCCCACGCCAGCCTGCTCTCCTCTCCAGGGGTGCCATTTGGACTGGGATTGCTTATGACTTTATCACAAGCAGCTGCTGGTCTCCCAGTCACTCTCCCCTTGAACAGGTTCACCTGATTTAACCCACAGACAGCCCCGGGTTGTCTTCCCTCAGGGTCATCTGTCTAACAAGGTATTTCCCTATAGAGACCAGAGGATTGGGGTGAAAAGTCAAGGTGACCCTGGTGCACCTGAGTAAATGCCCAGACCCCAGACCTTTACCCTCCTTCAACTGTTGCTGGTCTCTGAACCCTGATGGGACACTGACTTGTGGGCGAGATTATACCTGCCCTCTGAGCTCTTACCTACGTCCCAGTGCAGATCCTGGGCTCTGACTTCGTCTTTGTTCCGTGTGCCTCTGAGTTCTGAACCCCTCGCTGCCTTAGCTCAGATGCTGAACAAGGGCAGAGGACTCCTGCCTGTCTGGCCTCAGCCTCTAAGAGTCACAGTCTAGCTCTGTCCCTGCTGCTCTTGGCCTTGGCCATCACTGGAAGGTACTAAATAGAAAAAGACCATCTACATTCAGTTTCTCCATGCTTTTTCTTCTAAGAAGTCTCAGCCTTTTGGAGCTTTCATCATTTAGCTGGTAGGTTCTAGGACGACCTAGGAGGATGAAGAAGTTGGAGGAGGAGGAGTTACAGAGGGAGGAGAGGAGCAGGAATCAACACCGCCAGGCGGAGGGCTTGGCTAAGCACAAAGGGAAAGCAAGTTGGGGGTTCACATAGGTTTCCAAATGAAAAACAGGAAGTTAAGGGAGATCCTCCCAAATGGCCTTGACCTTCTTTGTAGAAAAGGTGGCAAGGTTGCCTGCTAAAAGGACACAGTGAAGCAACAGCGAGTACAGATTTAGAATAGTTATTGTGAGGCATGAGAAAAGGAAAGTCAGGTGTGGAAAAAGCAATACCCAGGATGGGGCCAATGCAGCTGAGGCTGGATATCAATTAGCGTGGAGTTTTATTTTTTCGTTTGTTATGTTTTTTAACATCCAACCTTCTCACCAAAACCCTGGGGCAGGAGGAAGGATGGCAGGCCAATCAAAGATGGAGTTGAAAACAATTCCCAAGGTGAAGACTGGCCTGCATCTCCCTGAAGAGGGAGACTCAGCCTGTCACGTCTGGCTAAGTTATGAGGAGTGACATCATGTGATGCAGTGAAAAGTGCACAGGCTTTGAACTTGCACAGGCCTACGTTTCATGCCAGACTGTCACTTTTTTTCTGTGTGACTTAGGAGTTATGAAACCTTTCCAAGTTTAGTTTCCAAATTTGTAGAACGAGGGTCTCACTACCTCCTAGGGTTGTTGGGAGAATTAAATCAAGTGAGATCTAGGTGAGCCCCCTGAGCACCTGGCGTGGCACCTAGCGTGGCACCTAGTGTGGCACCTAGCACAGGGGAGGCAGTGAGAAACATGAGTTTGCTTCCTTCACTGCTTCTCCTTGTACCATCAACTGACTTATAAGACATCAACAAGAGAAACTGGGAAAACATTAGGGGAGATCTAGTGGTCATGGGACGCCATTAAGGCCCGTGTGACATTAATTCCTGACAACAAAAGCCCAGCAGCCCGCATGTCCTGGCACACGCACTTAGTCCTCGGGCTCTGCCCTGCTCTCGTCTCTTTCATAATTTTCTAGAACTTCACTGCCTTCTCCCTCCTTTTGTTCCCTCTGTTGATAAACCTCTCAAATGAGGATGCTGCTGTCCCTGATTTTCATCACCTCATTCCCTGCCCCCAGGCAGACAAGCTTTGCTTCCACCACCCTAGGGGCACCGCTCTCCCTGGGTGCTGTCCGCCTGGTGAAACCCACAGGCATGCTCTCTGCCTGCAAATGACTCGGCTCCCTCTTGGAGTATTTCATGCCTCTCCTTGCCTTCAGTGATGCTGCACTTTTAGGTTCTTCTGATCTCTTTTACCCTTTTTCTGGCAACCTCTCTATTCCTCCAGGTACCTCAGAGGTACCTTGAGAGAAGCTCATTGTCAAAGGGGCTAGTACAAAAGACAGAAAGGACAAATCAAAGCGCACCTGCACACACAGCACCAGGAAGGGCAAACCCCCAACTGAAGGACAATGCTGGGGACAACAGAAAGGCTTCGTGTAAAGTTACATTCTCCGTTAGGTCAAAGGAAGAATGGGCGCGATTCCACTGGTATCTCTGATGGGTGCAAAGAACTTAGGACAGCAGTCCCCAAACCTCTGGCTGTAAGCAAACTTTAAGGATCATCAAAATCAAGTAATTCTTAAGAATTCCTGCATCAACTGATCCATTTTGTTTTTCTTTGGCTTCTTGTCATCACAACATTAAGAACTTCTCTATCAACATCCAAATTATAGACTAAAAATGCTAAACAGGCAGAAGGGCTAAGGGCAGATTACCATTACCCTCTGCAGAAAAATCTTTCAAGCCTGTCTTCAGGTACTAATATAGTACACAGGGTAGGGCAAAAATAGGTTTACAGTTGTGAGTACATGAAACACAACTTATTCTTGTATTATTACTTATTGTATTATTTTCCATACAAACAACTGTAAACCTACTTTTACCTCTGCCTGTATATACCTTTAGTCATTTGGGTACTAATACACCTAGTTTTACATTCATCCTATATTCCACTATCTTATCCATGAGACTGTTCCGAACAATGTTTTTGCAATGCCTCACTGGAGCGAGAATTGACCAGCTCTACCACTACAAGACGCGTTCTCAGCCAGGCCAATGAGGTCAGCCTGGCGTAACTCACTCTCAGTGGACAAGGCTCTCTACTCTGACCTCTAGGTTCTCACAAACCATCATAGGGTTGACCCCAAACTCAATAGGCTAAATTTTGTAAAGCCCATCTAACTTTGTCATGTAGAAGAAGGAGGAGGAGGGAGAAGGGGAGGAAAAGGAGGAGGGGGGGGGAGGAGGAGCTTTACTTTTAATTTTTAAACAAATCACTGGATCCCTTAAAGTTTGCTTACAGCCAGAAGTTTGGGGACCAACTGTCCTAAGTTCTTTGCACCCATCAGAGGCAGCAGTGGAATCGAGTCCATTCTTCCTTTGACCTTATTGAGAACGTAACTTTTAACAGAAAGCCTTTCTGTTGTCCCCAGCATTGTCCTTTGGTTGGGGTTTGCCCTTCCTGGTGCTGTTTGTGCAGGTGCACTTTGATTTGTCCTTTCTGTCTTTTGTACTAGCCCCTTTGACAATGAGCTTCTCGCAAGGTACCTCTAAGCTGTTTGTTTTTATTGCATGCTATTATTTATTGGTATTATTTGTGAGATTGTGGAATCAAGACTATGTTATTTTAAAGTAGTTCCATATTCTCAAGTCATCTTCTAATTTCTTTCTGAACTTTCAAAGTTATGATTTGCAATATTCATGACTATCTACGTCTCATTTTTTCCTCCCTCACTGTCATGAACTCTCAAATGGCAATGACCACTCTTTCTCAAGGTGCCCATCACTTTTACATCATAAACTAGTTTCTCCCTTTGTTTCAAAACAGTTATATTGGTAGTTTTCCCAGTTTCTTTATTTGCCCTCTGGATAAAAACTACACCAAGGGGAGAAGGGACCAAGAGCCAATTCAAATACTTAAGAGTTTAGTCAGAGGAGAGTCTTAGGAGTTACCCAAATCACTGCCCCGCTCCATCGCTGCCCCTCGTCAGCTTCCGCCAGTCTGGGATCTGCATCAGGGGTGCATTTCCCTCCCCTGCTTAGTGTGACTAGGAGGTACACCCCGGCTCTGCTGGGACACTGCCCTTTAAGTCTCGCCACCCCTGTGGTGTTGTTCTTGTCCAGCATGTCCATCCTCAGGTTTGGCATTTCAACTTACTTTTATAATCCCTCTCTACAGGCCTAGCCGATCACCTCTCTTAACAGGTCTGTTTCTTCCATTCTTGGGTCCCACATCATGAAGTCCAGGTGACATTTATGAGGTTCTAATTGCTGTTCTGCATTGTAATCTCTGCTCATTTACTCCTGCTTTGCCAACCATCAAGTTCTTTTTTTATGGTTCTTTTCTATGTAAAACTACTGGGCACCTCCCCTAATCAGAGTCTTTCCCACCCCATCCTTCCTGCTGAATTTGTTCACAGTTTCACTTACTCCTTTTTCTCTCGCTTCCTTTACGTTCAGTTTAATACTGTCCTGGAACTCTTCTAAATCACAGGTAAAAATGTAACATCTGTAGTCTACAGGGCGATTTGGAAATGTCTGTCAAAATTTCAAATGTGTGTACCCTTTGTCTCATCGGTTCCACTTCAATATTCTCACGCATGTATAAGCATGACTTATAATAGCAAATACTTAGAAACAACTTAAAAATTTATCAAGAGAGAACTGGTTAAATAAATTAGAGCATAGGCAGATAAAGGAATAACAAGCATACATAAATATGAGTGAGGGAGTGTTTTTCAATGAGGGGGAAGGTATGTGTGTGCATATATTTATAGATACAGACAGATATTCTACCAAATTTGCTCATCCATGCATAAAATAACTCTGGAAACTTAAAAAATAAACAGATAACATTGGTTCCTGACGACTGGCTGAGGAACAGACATTGAAGGAGACTTTTTGCTCTATATACCTTTTTGAACTTTTAACTATTTTGAATTATTGGAGAGTATTTTCTATGTTAATAAAAATAAGTAAATAAGATAAAACAGGATGAAAAGAGGAATAAAACGCTCCTCATCAGGCCATCTCTTCTCTGAGAAAATACAATCTTCCCAGCCCTTGCCCTGAGCTCCAAGACCGTCATCCGGTTCCCCGTCAGAAACCAGACCTCATCCCTTCCAAGGGCCCCCCTCCGCAGGAAGAGAGAAGGGGTGGCTGTACCACCAGGGCTGTTAGACATTGCACTTTTGCCAGGAAATCCTAAGGGTTCTTCCTGGCTCCCTTCATGCTCCTGCACATCACCGATCAACTGGGCTGGCTTCACACCGCAGCGCACGCTGGGTCCGGGCTCACCCTCCACAAGCGGCTCCGACACTCCTAGCAAAACCCTCTGGACCCCACAGAGGGACCTGTGACAGGCGCCCCTGCAGCCCCAAGCTGAGGGAAGCCAGCGTCCCTTCTCTAAGGAAGATCCGTCTGAAGGCCAAGGCTTTCACAAGCTGAACCACCTAGGGGTTTTCCTTAGCCTCTGGATCTCTTTCTTTCCTATTCCATCCTCCTACCTCCAATATTTATTCTAGGTCAGTCACTCTTCTGCAGTCCTGCCTTTTGGGGTAAAGCTAACTGATCCAAACTTAGGTTCCTTGAAATGATCAGCCTTATCGCCAAAGGCTGATAAGGAAAAAGTAAAATAAATACAGGAAAGCCAGTAATCACCACATCTCACTCAGGCCGCTGATGCACTCCTGAGCATGGCTGGCTGTCAGGGTTCTCTCCATCTGACCAGGAACCTGCCCCTCACGTCCTCAGCCTTTACAGACGACCACCTGTAATCACTTCCACAACTCCAGGCAGCACGGTGCTGGCTGAGGGCGAAATCAGAACCAGACAGAACAGCCTGCAATGCTCTCATTAACAGCATCTTTTTCTTTTTCATCGAAACATAACATGGAATTTGAGGATAAAGCCAGAGCTACACAGGGGAAGCTTATTACAGATCCGGCTACCTCAAAAAAAAAAAAAAGAAAAGAAAAAGAAAAAAAAAGTTTTTGCCTTTTCCAAACCACAAGCAATCAGGCCTTAGGCTAAACACTGGAAAAAACAGCAGTGTGCAGAATGGAAATCAGCATTCCTTTTACTCAGAAACTACAACCTCTGGTAACCTCAGCTAGCTAAATGTCTCATTCAAAATAAACATCTCCATGTACAAGACAATAGTGCTGCTTAAGCAGCACTCTCTGTTTTTTAAGCCTACGGGGATCCAGGTAGTTACAGACAATATGGAGGTTCTGAGCATCCCAGCAAAGGTTCTGTTCAATTACAAGAATGAAAAATGTGTTTCAGGTCATGTGGCTGTTCACTGATTATCACAGGTTTGAACAGCCTAAAAAATTCCTCCAGGTGGAAAGCTAATGTTTGTGCTAGCGACTGGGAAGGGCTGTTAATCTGATAGGACTGAGGCCAGCAGCTCCGATTCGATGTTGCCTCAGAAATGAAAAGCCTAATGGAAAACAAAAACAAAAAACTCAGATTGAAAATCCTTCCAAAAGGAAAGAAAGAAAGCAAGTGGTAAAATGACTGCTTTGACTAGATGTGGCCTGGAAGTGGGAGTTCTCCTTCCTTCCTGTCTTCCCTACAAAGGAACTGAGGCGCCAGCTTGGTGCTGGCCCTCCGCGCTTCCACACGCAGACGCACTAATGCTCCCACGTGCACACACATGCATACGTGAGTACATGCTCCCTACAGGGGCTGGTTCAGAAACAGGCATATGACTCCACTGCCCCTATAGGACACAAGCCTGGGGCTTTTGTCAGAACCTTTGAGAAGGAGAATCTCCATTGGCCAGGCTCCTAGGACCTAGAGTTGTTGGTGGCCACCTCTGTCCCCACATGGGGAGAGCCTTCCTGAGAATAAGGCTAAAACAGAACCAAGTGATATACTAAGACTGATTCTAATGACATTGTGAGGTCACCTGGACCTAGTGCTGCTAGATTTTTAAGCCCTGGACTCTTCAAGTTCTGTGACATAATAACCCTTCCACCATTTAAAAAAAAAAATTATGTGGTTTTGAGTTGAGTCTGTCCCCTTAAAGTCTTCTCACAGAGTCTGTTGAATTCTTTCTTCAAAGCCCTAATGCACAATCACATGTAATCACACATCTTGAAACATTGGTAAAATTAACTGTAACCCATAGAAAATTTGTTTCTCTGTGAATATTTAAGAAGTAGAATCCATCCAACTAATACTTCATACAGGTAAAGTTTCAGTCTGTGTGATCTTTACCATATATAGTAAGGTATTTAAGTCAAGATTTCCATTTCTAGTGTGCCTAACAACATGATCAGTAAAAGATCAATAAAACTTGGCTATTACTATGTGTCCAGCACTATACTATGGACTAAACATAGGCTATCTCACTCCTTACTCAGAACAACCCAAGAAACAGGAAGAATGTATTACTATCTCCATTTTACAGAAGAAGAAAGACAGGTTTGGAGGTTAAATTACTTGCCTAAGATCACAAAGCTGCTGAAGAGCTAAGCTTGTATTACAGCCAGGAGATCTGATTCAGGAGCCTGCACACTTAATCACGAGGAGACACTGTCCTCAGCTTAATGGAGAGATCATTTGGCAACTATTCTTCTTACTAATGAGCATGATCTCAAAAGCAATGCAAGAAATATGCCCTACATTTTAGAAGTGCCTCAATTACCAGTGTTTACACAGTAAACGCAGAAATATGACAGGTTTCAGTGCACAATATCGTTTTCACTTAATTTTAGAAAGAAACAACATCCATCTTTAGATTTTGGAGATGCTTAAGTGGAGAAGGGGGCTGAAAATAAACCAACTACTTATGAAATGCCAGTTTGTATAATAGTGACTTAACTTGCATGATTTTATGTGGACTTCACATAGTTATCTACATTGTAGTTAAAGAAACTGAAGTTGAGAAAGAGTAAGTAGCCAACTTTTGGTGTTCATAAAGCTATTAAGCAGTTAGGCCGGTAATTGAGCCAAGGTGTTTCCAAACCTAAAGCCTATTTTCCTTCCACATCTCACATTTTCAAGTGAGAATACTACGACTTGTAGGTAGAAGTACACAGAAGATGGTTATCTAATGTTCAAACAGGCTGTTCTCTCTAAAATAAAGTAGAGCTCTGAGCCTAAAAGTCTCTAAATGTTTATTCAAAAAAAAAAAAAAAAAAAAGGAGTCCAGAACATTAGACAATGGCATGTTGAATCTGGAAATAAAAACACAACAAAACAGGAAAACATTCTCTCAGAGAAGCCAGTGCATGGGCTCACCCCATGACCCATCAGGAGAAAAGAAGTACTGTACGTAATCTAAGGGCTCCATCAGGGTCGTGCAATGCACATCAGACTCCCTGGATGTAGCGACTGTGGCTTGCCACCTGACTTCATCCCAGTACCTGGTCATTACCTTGGCCTTCATGGAGGACATCTTGTGTCCCTTCACATCTTGTCTGACCCTCCCCTCACTACTGCATCCCTTTCCACCCCTGTCAGCAGCTGGAGGGAGGGCAAAGCCTTAGAGCCAAAATTGGGTGGTTTGGGCATTGCTGAAATTTGCAGCCACAGCAAAATCTGATAACTTGGTATTAACAGATCACTGCATCTCTAGTGCATGGATGTTTCTGGCGGCCAGCGGCGGCCAAGCTTAGGCTTGACCAGACGGTCTGAGTCTACATCAGGATAGCTCCCACCATCTGAACTTAAGACAGCACGGGTCCCCCTGGAATTTAGTGTACCACACTCACCTCTGCTTTTCTCTGCTTCTCCTCTTGTTCTCTCTGCTCCTTCTCCATGCCAACCAGCTTGAGCTTCAGCTCAGATACTTCGGTCATCAGATCGAGCTTCTGAGTCTCAAGAGATGTGCGACTTAGCAGCTCCTGCAAAGCAAAAACAGATCTCAGAATCATAAACCTCCATGGCAACAAGGACAACTCTAGCTCCATAGGCACATAAGGCAATCTCTCAGTGGTGTGCTGGACAACACAGAGTGGAGACTGCTGCCTGTAAGCCACAAGCCTATTAGGGATGGGCCTGGGAAGATAATCAGTCATTTGGGGATAGCACAACCCCTGCCACTACTCACTGTGCTATGACAGACATGTGATCTACATTTAAAAAAAAAAAAAAACAACACCACATTTGCCCATAGAAACCATTATTCATTATTTCCAAGTAGAAAAAAAAAATGAATATGTACTCTTGAAGTACTAAATTTCTTCATCTTGACGTTTAAAGCAAAGCAGCAGGTCCTTGTCCACTAAAACAAATAAAAAACAAGCTTTTGGTAATATATTTTTCAAAACCAAAATTTCCCTATCACTTCCTGAGCTAAATCAGCCCTCAGCATAGTCTTTAACACATCTCATTGTAAGGCCTCACTGCAAGGGGCCCAGAAGGGAGCTAGAGCATAGAGTACAATAGATGTTCAAAGAGATTTACTGAATAATTTTATTAGAATCTTATTGTGTGAGATGATCTTTTGTGGGCTGCACTGATATTACAATTTAGCAACTACGGGATGCAAGTAAGAAGATTTCCCTTATTGTGAGGACTCTCAATGGGAGGTTGTTACCAGACCCGCCATCAGTAGAACAGCAGTAGACAACTTGCCATTAATACATACACTTAATAAGCACATATAAGGCAAACAACAAAGAGGATAGGCAAAACACCTGCTCAGAACTACTAGGAATTATGAAAAACCTTTACAAACAGGAGCATTTCCCAAAGTCCAGGGGCAACGCATCTCTCTATGGGAAAAAAAGCAATGTTCCATGTGGTCCAAAATCCTAGCATGTGGTAGACATTGAACATACAGGTCCTAGCAAGAAAAATATAATATGGCAACTAGGAGAGCAGCAGGCTAAATGCACAGATGGTAAAGACACATGGCTCTGCCACGAACTGAGCATTCTGTAACACCTCGCACAGCCCAAGCCGAGGGCAAGAATGGCAATCTCAGCACCATTCTGACCCAAAAGTTTTGATTTTACATATTCTGAACTGTCCTCAGATTATAAACCAAACCACAGAGGACAGATTTAAACTTGGAATACATAATTCCCTAGGCTGAAGGGCCCTCAGGACCTCAGAAAGCCAGGCTACCAACTGTCCATCTGCTCATCTGAGGGGATAAGTATTTAGAAGTCAAATCAGCAAAATAAGCTCACTGAGCCCAGGGCTAAGAAGGCTGGCTCTGCCGGGGCCAGCCAGACCTAAAGCTGGCTTACAGGGCAGACAGCAGCACAGCCACGCTCGAACTGTGGGCGACTTGGTCGTGAGGAGTCAGCCGGATAAGCATGTCCAATGTAATGGAGGGACGGGGATGAATTCACTGAGTGTCTCCTCTGTGCCAGACACTGCTCGGTACTTCATGTACATGCTCTCCATAAACCCTACCAGGGATTTAGCAGTAAATATTATTTTCCTAACTTTGCCCAGACGAGGAAACAGGCCTAGAGATTGACCTATCTTGGCCAAGGACACATGCCAATCAACAGCAGAGTTAGTTTTCAAACCAAAGTCTGTTGACTCCAAAACTTATTTCTGCCTAAAGGCTCACTGTTTCCTAAACAGAAGAAGGAATCCAAGAATTTTAAGAGAAATAAAAAAATACATGCTGAAAAAAAAAGAATCAACAAATATTCATTGAGCCCAGGAAATACCCACTCAAACTGACAAGATTTTTTTTTTTTTTTTTTTGCGTATAGACCCTTTACTAGGGCCTGGTGTTAAGGCTATGCACAACATAAAAGTCCCTAAAAAGGTCTTCTCTGGGTGAAGGTGATGGCATCTCAGGGTCAAGTAACTTCGGACGTAATCCTCCCCCAGACCACCTACTCACTCACTCCTACCTCCTTCTCCCTCTTCCCCGCCACCTCATCCTGTGTTTATCTCTCCAGCCTTTCAGCAACCTGCTTATTCAAACAATCATTTGAGGCAGTTTGTGCAAGAGATAATTCAAGTTAGAAAACAAATCATAAAAACCAAAGCAGATAGGAAAAGAAGTTGAAGCCAGAGTTGTAGTTGGTATTGACGTCATACATTACAGTTCTATACACAGCTAGAGATGGACTATAATGTGCATGTGAGCTTCCCAGCCACCAATGCAAAGGTGAAAAGGAAGAATTTTACAAATCAAGGTCCGTGAGATAATAACATTGTTCTGGAGTGCTGAGAACAGAAAATATTCTTCCATGGGACTTCAACCATTTTTTCAACAAATACATTTTTAAATATCTACCAGATGCCAAGGCCCAGGGGTATGACTGTTAAAAACACAGCCCCTGTTGAGTACTTGACTATCTGAAGATGATATTCATGCACTTTTTCTACTAACCAGCATTCAAGCCACTGGCTTGGGATTCAAAAAAGTCTCAGAATATATCTCTCCTGAAAGCTAAGATTCTAATCTATTCCTACCATTGCCAAAATCCCACTGGCTATTTTAACTGCTAGGCTGTCACTGGTCACACCAATGTTCCAGCTGACAAGGGTAATATTTTAATTGGTTGCACTGAAGTTCCAATAGCCATTCCAATTGGTCATGCCAGTGCCCCCATTGGTCACACTAACATTTCAAGTGGACTTTCCAGTTGGACACACCAAAGTTTTCATTAGAAACCTGGGGTTTCTTAATTTCATATACTCCACTGATAACAAAAGTTTCATTTACTCTCTCCCAGCTTCCATCGGTTGCCGTGACCTCTACCTTTCATTATCATCACCCTCTGTCTTTGTCATTAGTAAATACTGCCCTACGCCCTGCACTCAAAATCCGCCTTCAACAGGCTGCCCCAATCCAGCTCCATCCCCACCTCTAGGCTTGGCATCGCCGCCAGCCGCTACTTGTACTGTCACTTCTATCATGTGCGACTCCATAGCGTTTAACTACCCTACATTTTCCACTTCATAAGCTGAAGTCCTGACTTTTGCACAATATGACACACCTCCCTCGTCATCTCAAGTGGAGACCCCTCTGCTTCAGCGACCCAACTTCCAGAACACCTTTCTCCCTGTTTCAAGACTAGTTTCAGACCATCATCTGTCCCTATTGATTGTCAGTGTCTGCCCTCCTCTTCTAAAGCAGAGCGTTCAATAATATCACATTCTCCCCACATATCTTGGACCCAACATGGGCGCCCATTTTCCTGGAGGCTTTTGTCTTTTGATCAATAGTTTTACCTACTTTGGGCACATTCCATCTCCTCAGTAGCTTCAGCATCCTTGTTTGTCTTCCTTTTAATATCCACTCTGGCTTCACATTTCTTGACTTCAACACCAACAGGCTTTGCTTACACTTTGTTCCAGCTTCTCAGCAGGATGGCAACAACCTGGCCCTCCTCTTTGTCCAGAGTATGTGTGCTCTGCTTCTAAAATCTTCAACTCAGAAATTCTTTTTTGGCCACCATACTCTGACCTTTCAACCGTCCTATTTACTCACTTGAATAATCTTTAATTTCTTCCTTGGTGGCTGCCAGTTACTTAATAACTCTCTAATTTCCTAGAGTATCAACTTCCTTTAAGCCATATTTACCTACTTATCCTCTCTATACCTTTGAGGTTAGTCATTTCAGCTGTATCATATCAGCAGCAGAAACTCCTCATCGAGTTCATCCCTGAGGCCCCTAGACCTGAAATGCATTTGCTTTACCCAGAGCCCAGGCCAGGCCAAACCTCAAAGCCTTTTATCTATGTTTGCCTGGGAATTGCTGGTAAAAGTCACTTAACGATGCCAACTGGTTTTCATACAAATTTTATGCTAATTACAGCGGATCTTCCAATACTGCCTGGCAAAATTTGTATTCATCTCTGGCTGGTTCCTTTCAGAAATCATTCCAAACCTTTTCCATTCTTTTCAGTCCCTCAACCGCACCCTATTCCCCTCTTCTCCTCAAATAACCTCTCAGAGTTACTGAAAAGATTTTAAAAAATCACCTGATCATTCATGGAACTTACATCCTATTTCAAAGTTTCCCAAAATTGTCTTCTATTTGTATATCTTAAATCTATGTCTTAGAGAAGGCCGGCCCACACCTTCTTTCCGAAGTCAGTCTGAAAGAACTGCACATAAGCAATTTCTAAGCCAGGCTCGTTCACCTTTAAGAACTGTTCTCTAGCCTAGGAAGTTTCCAGGCTGCACATAAAAGGCATATGTTAAAAAACACAGTGATTGCATAGTTTGCTCCTAAATCTGACCCACCCCATCTGACCCACCTTCCTGCTGCTGACCACTTCTCAGTCTCTAGACTCTTCACACCATCCTCAAGCAGCTTGATGAAACTTCAGGCTACTTTCATGGTTAACCAGTGGCATTTGGCTTTGTTCTCTGAGTTCTGGTCCTGTTTTTCCTAGAGGGTAACTCAGAATGACGCCTCCTCACAGGGTCCTAGGCTTTCCTTCACCTCTGTGCTGCCGTTGAGGGAGTTCCCAGAAAGTCTGTGCTACTCTAGGTTAGGACCATTAATCATCCACTCTGACAGGCATTTAATCTCTCCCTCCCCGTCAGCTTATATTCCTCAGGGTATAAACATGATCAAATTTCTGACATTTGAAAGAACCTTCCCTCTCGACCTGGTGGCCTTCCCCTCGAGCAACCACCACTAACTCCCATGGGCTCTCACTAGGCAAGTGTACACTCTGTGTGAGTGGTATCAGTGCTGTTTCTCTCCATCTCTTCCCCTCCCCAAGCTCTAGAAAGAATAATCTGTCCATGCTGCCTCTTCTTTCTCATCTTCCTGTCACTTCTCAGTAAGATGCCTGCATGCCTGCAAGCTGGCCCCTGCTGCCTTACCCCTCATCCACTCATCAGTGTAAGATATTCCTTACCACTCCTTCCTTCCTTTTGGTTTTTCTGACCTTTGCTTTTCTTTTCTAC